ACTGGCATTACGGAGGGCCTTCCTATAAGTTTTAAGACTATCTTGCCAAATTAAACGAGAATTTTCCAGTTTGGTGGAACGCCAATTCCTCTCAAGTTTCCGCGATATTTGCTTTAATTTGCGAGTTTCAGTATTATACCATGGAGCTAACTGTCTTTGTTTTAGTATTTTCTTTTTTAGAGGGGCTACAGAGTCGAGTGTCATTCGCAGCGAGCCTGCAGCACTATCAACAAGATGATCGATTTGGGAGGGACTGAAATTAGCATAGGAGTCCTCCGTTACTTTGTGACTTGATAATGAATATAGAGCTGATGGAATCGCATCCTTAAATGTAGCTACAGCACTATCAGACAGACATCTTGTAAAGAAATTTTTGCCCAATGGCGTGTAGTTCAGCAATACAAACTCAAAAGTTATTGAACAGTGGTCGGACAAAGAGGGATTCTGTGGGAACACCACTAAATGTTCAATTTCAATACCATACACAAAAACAAGGTTGAGGGTGTGGTTAAAACAGTGAGTCGGTTCTTCAGATATCCACTAAACTGTGCCGAAAACCCTGCCTGCCCCAGTGTGTGGCACGACTAAGAGGAGAGCGCACGAGTGCCAGGTGCCGAAGGAAGGTCAAGACTGTAAAACCGAATGAATGTGTGCGTAGTGGCCCAGCCAGCCGCTAAACAAACATCCTGCAAAGAGGCCCCGGAAAGGAGGGCTCGAGAGGCCGCCATGCCTCTGGTAGAAAAAGCCCTCACAGCCACAGGTGAAGGCAAACCGCGCACCTGATAAGCCAGGGAAATAGTCTGAACAATCCAGTTGCTAATAGTATGTTTGGATGCAGGGAGCCCAGCCCTGGGGGACCCAAAACACACTAGCAGCTGGTCAGCCTTCCTCCAACGGGAGGACCTCAGAGTGTAAATACTCAGTGCTCTGACAGAGCAGAGCAGATGAAGTCTCCCATCCTCCTCAGTCACATGAGGTGGAGGATGAAATGCCTGCAACACTGTGGACCCTGCCGCACAAGAAGGCACTTTAGGGATGAATCCTGGACGAGGATGCAGGATAGCCCTAATATTCCCCGGGGCAAACTCCAGGCTTGCGGGGAAACCGAAAGCTCTTGGAGATGCCCCACCATCCTCAGAGAGGTGATAGCAAGGAGAAAGGCCATCTTGAGGGTCAAGTGCTTAGCCTCAGCTGACTCCAGGGGTTCGAAGGGGACCTCAGCCAACGCCCCAAGAACCACTGCCAGATCCCAAGTGGGAACCTTGGACCGAGTTGCAGGTCTCATCCTCCGGGCACCACGGAGGATCCATGTGGACGGGGCCCTGGAGCTGAGGAGGGTCTCGACTGCTCCGGCTGTTAGACCCGCCTCTAGGTACTGTGCCCCCTCAGGGGCCAGACCCACAGTCGCCATATGGCGGGGCAAGGGTGAAGAACCCGGCCCTGCGCCTGGGACAGCAGGTCTCTCCTCAGAGGGACCCGCCACGGCGGGCCGTCCAGGAGCGACATGATGTCCGAGAGCCACACCCGGGTTGGCCAGAACGGGGCTACGAGCAGTAGGCCGACATTGTCCTGGTGGACCCGTTCCAGAACCCCCGGGAGCAGAGCGACTGGGGGAAAAGCGTCCAGACGTAGCCTCGGCCACGAATGTACCATGGCGTCCAGACCCAACGGGGCTGGAGGAACGAGAGAAAACCATAGCGAGCAGTGCGTAGTCTCTTGAGACGCAAACAGATCCACGTCTATGGGGCCGAACTCTTCGCACAAGAGCTCCACCACTTCGGGGTGAAGTCTCCATTCCCCGGCCTCAGCCCCTGCCTCGACAGCAGGTCTGCTCCCTGATTCTGCGTCCCCTGAGCGATAGTAACCTCTGCTGGGACCACAGGAGGATCTGACGCGCCAGTCTGTACAGAGGGCGCGAGCGCAGACTGCCCTGGTGATTCAGATAGGAGAATCGGGCTGGAAACTCCTTAGAGCCTGGAACACCGACATCTCGAGACAGTTGATATGCCGCTCGGATTGATGCACCTGCCAGGATCCCCTTGCAAAGCGGCCGTCCATGACCGCGCCCCAGCCCGTGAGGGAGACGTCTGGCGAAATGACCAGCCGGCGACAAGACCCTCCCAGCACGGGCCCCTCGGACAGGAACCAAGTTTCCTTCCAAACTGATAGGGAACGAAGACACTTGCGCGTAACCCAAATCAGACGGAGAGGATTTCCCCTCGGGGAAAAACCCTTGGTCCTTAGCCACCACTGCAGGGGTCTCATGTGCAGCAGTCCAGATGGTATTACGCTGGACGCAGCCGCCAGGAGACCCAACACTCGTAGAAAGTGTTTTATAGTGATGGCGTGGCCTAACTTCACCCCTTTCATGGCAGCCAATATGGTGTCGACACGTGCCATAGACAATTGTGCCCGCATCGTTGTCGAATCCCATACTACTCCTAGGAACATAGTCTGTTGGGTGGGCGCCAGCACACTCTTTTTTGTGTTGAGCCTCAGCCCTAAACGCCGCAGATGACCCAGAATGACATCTCGATGCTGAACCGGCAACTCTCAAGACTGGGCTAGGATGAGCCAGTCGTCGATGTAGTTGAAATCCGGACGCCCTGGAGCCTCAGCGGGGCCAGTGCTGCATCCATACACTTGGTGAATGTGCGAGGGGAAAGTGCCAGGCCGAAGAGACTGAGAAAGACTCCCCTACCCCGGTCTTCCCTCAGCTCTGTCGGGACTGGATGACGGTCCTCAGACCGCATCTCTCAGAAGGCTGGTTTGTGAGAGCGCTGTCTCGCTGCCCCAGCTCCTCGGGGGGGCCCCCGAGAAGCGACACTCTGCTTCCTCTCCTCTCCATAGGAGCTCGTGGAGGGAAGGGACCTACACACCTGGCAGCCTCAGCTGCCTTGGGTCCAGACCGGCGAGGGAGGTACTGGCGGAACGCTTCGCCCTGCGTCTAATGCTCCGTGGTTCTGCGAAGCTCCGCCAGACCTTCCTCAGAGGGACCCCCCCTCTGAACCATCTGCTGTAGCAGGTCGGCTTGGTAGGCTTGAAGCACCGCCATGGTGTGCAAGCTCGCACCTGCCTGGCCCGCTGCCATGTACGCCTTCCCCACGAGCGTAGATGTGGTGCGACATGGCTTGGAGGGTAACGCCGGCTTCTCCAGGGAGGACGCAAGTCGAGGGGAGAGATAGCTCGCAAGCGCATCCTCCACCCGAGGCATCCTCCCATAACCACAGTCCCTAACCCCCATCACATTACTGTGATTCAGTGATAGGGGTGTGGAAAAAAGAGAAAGGTCTGCCCCATGATTACTCAGTTCATCATGTAAATCAGGAAGAATGGCAGAGACCGGCATGGAGGTGGCGCGTGGTGCTTAAGAAACCTTTCATCAAGCTTACCACTAGTCTGTGGTGTCTGCTCCTCCTGTGGCCAGTTGATGTTGAGCTTAGCCACGGCTCTAGTCACCACCTCCAGCAGCACGTCATAGTCGGGCACCGCCAGATGTCATCGTCCACTACGCTGAGCACGTCTGCCTCCTCGGAGTCGGATTGCTGCAGCGTCTCCGGATCCAAACCGCGAGCGGGAGAAGCCGAGAACGGGCTCCCGGACGAGGAAAGGAAGCGTCGGAGCCAGCGGATGAAGGTCTGGAAAAGCCTCAGCCGTCCGGAAATCCTCCGACAGATCACGCTGTGAACCCCATGAGTGAAGCCGCCGGGCTGCCTCAGCGGCCGCAGGGCCCACAGGGTCCGCACCACAGGGAGAACACATCCTCGGAAAAGAGAGCCATGCTGTACCTCAGTACCCGCACGGAAAGGGCTTCGCAACGGGCGCAGGCAGCCCCCTCGAGAGCTGCCCGGGCGTGCTCCATCCCCAAACATGAGACACACATCTCATGAGAATCTCCATCCGTGATGTACCGAGGGCAAGAAAAAACACACCTTCTGTACATCTGGTTGCCGGACATGCTGGTAGACTTCTTCTTCAGGTAAGACATTTCGCTGCTTGTAGGACTGGAGCTTTCTTCAAACAACATACAGAGCGCCTGCTGAATAGAAAAAAGCTAATGATGAGTGTGTACAGGCGTGCTTTATACTCCTCCGGTTATACCGTCACACCTTACGGTTCTAGCAACAAGCCAATAGGATTGGAGTGATTTCATTTACGTTCAGACCTGCTTCGCCTAGAGGCGTTCCCATAATGTCGTAACCGACGCAGTTCGAGTTCCCTCGAAGGGGAACTGAGTCCACACTGTAACCTGTAAGCTCTCAGGTCTGGATTTATCAACATGGTCAGCAGACGGCTACATGTATATCTCCACTTAAACGGCAAAACAAGTGAATTATGAAGAATGAACTGTGAAGCTAATAGCAGTTTTGCAGTGGTTTCTCGCCCCTGCAGATTAGTTTCTGCCACAAGACAATCTATACTGTATTATGACCACTGACAGGTGAGGTGGACTACACTAGGAAGGAAGGAAGGAAAAGCGATGAACCTGCAAAAGCTCAACTTTGACTTTAACCTTTTTTGGACATTGCAAATGTCACAAACACACAGTTTGGGTGTCACAGGCGCAGACCAGTCAGGGGGACCATGCTGACCCCTGTCAGCTGCCGAAAGTACCTAGAAAGTCACTGTCATTTGTGAGGATCAGAACTGGACCACAAAGCAAAAAAAGTTCAGGAATGGCTTGAGTAACAAACAAGCTGAAGGTGCTGAAGGTGTTTGACAGTAACACTGATTTGCAGTGGGGGTTGAATCATTTTGTTCGCAACTGAACAACAGAAATGAAGTAACACATTTTCATTAAAGAAAAATGGCTGGAATAATTTCTGTTTGATTCTTTCTTTATGAAGATAAAAAAATAGACCAGACTTCAGAAAGTCTGCATTTGTGTTTGGATGTACCTGCTGGCAGGAGACACCTGTTCCTAATAAACACATATCAGGAGATTCTGGCTCCGGTTTATTTAACCACTCTCCAAAACGACTGCTTATTTCCAGAAAGGAGAAGCAAAACAACAGTCCCACATTAAAGGAAGAGAAGCACCTGCTTCCTTTCTCAGAAGCTTCACTTAAGTAAAAGTGAGACTGCTGTCCAGCCAGATTCACAGCTTTTTATGAGAGTGAAGAATTTCAGTAACATTATGTGTATGTCCTGGTGTGGTTAGCCTAGCTTAGCATAAAGACTGGAAGCGGGGGGAAACTGTTAGCCTGGCTCTGTCCAAAGTTCAGAAGACAGCTTTAAAGTTCACTGACAGACACTTTAGATCTAGTTTAGTTCATCTGGACGCAACCAGAAATGTGAAAAGGATCATTTAAATAAACCAAAGTATTTGTGTTTTTCTAGACGGCAGCTAAAGAAGACGAGCCAGAGATTTGACTGTGGGACTCGCATGACGATAGAGCTCTGGATCTGTCCACCTAAACGCAAAGTGTCCACCTGTGTGTGTTGCAGGGCGCGGCGGAGGCCGAGCTGGAGAAAGACTTGGAGAGGACCTTTAAGATTTTCTTTTTCAGCAGCGGTGAAGCGGTGAGTAGACACACACGCACGAGTCCAGTCCGCACAGGCAGAAAAATCCCCTTCGTGTCACATAAGAAATGTTGTGTTTCCGTCTTCAGGCGAAGCGTCCTGCCGTCAGCACCGCAGGAGTCTGCGCTCGAGGTGAGCCTCCACCCTGAAGTCTGAGCCGGGACTTCCTCCTGAATGATATTTGAAGAGCTCATTAAAAAGCCCAGCAGATACTGACACGTCCCGTTACAGGTGGTCTGTTTGTGGGTCTGCCGGAGCAGATTCCCCGGAGCTCCGTGCTGACGGAGGCCGACCGAGTCGATCACCGCCTTGTGTTTGGTTTCACAGGAGACCGTTGAACTGGTATCGTAACGGGGAGGCGAACTGGAGGTGGATGTGTTCTCGTCCCACTGCAAAGGTTCGTTACAGAGCGCATTATGAGACGCCAGCATCTCAAACAAACATTTAAGAAAACAAAACCAGGCTCTAAAACTGGGTTTCTACACGAGTTCTGCAAAGCATTTTCAGCTCATTTAAACTTCTTGGAAACCGACATATCGTATCGTCCTGCTGGAAAAGGTTTAATGTCAGAATATAGGTGAACATCAAAGTCACCATCAGGCTGCTGGATTATCTGTCACAGTGTTTGTGTTCCTGCAGCAGCTGGACGAAGATCAGCTGAAGAGAAATTTACATTTGCCCCTAAAAAGTGCCGACCCTGTTTCTGATGTTGTAGCGTCTGACTTCCTGTCTGTGGCCCTCAGCTCCAAGCCCGTCGCTTCCTACTGAAGACGGAAATCTTTAAAAACATCTCACAGATATTTAGTTGCGGTTTTGTTGTGGTTTTTATCCAACAGACAGGAAGCAGTGCATTTGTTAGGGACTATTTTCAGCGGCGGATGAATCCACAGGTGGCGGGTTTGGGGCAGCAGGACGGTGTGTGTGGGACTGAGTCAGAATAAAGTACAGAGTGTGTTCATGGTGATGAAGGAACATGTGACCCAGTGCAGCAGAGAGGCTCACTGATGCTTTGACTTCAAGTTCAAAGACTGATTTTTATTTCCACTTTAGAGGACTGAGATGCACAAAGAAAGTCTGTCTGTCACTGTGTGTGTGTGTCTCAGCTGCTGATGCCTGCTCTGATGGTGACGGCAGGTAAAGACAGGTTCTGCTGCCGGCCTTCTCCAAAGGGATGGAGGACTTGGTGAGAAAAACAGCAGCGTCCTTCCTGAAGACAGACAGAGTGATTATAGATTATTGGAAATGAATCTGACCCGGTCTCTGTTGGTGGACTGCAGATCCCGAACCTGAGCAGAGGACACATCGAGGAGTGTGGACACTGGACTCAGATGGAAAGGCCAGCGGAGACAAACAGCATCCTGATATCATGGCTTAGAGAGACGCACAAGAAGGCTGGAGGCGTTAAAGTGGCCCCCAAACTGTGAGGGGGGGGGGGAGAGGAGGGAACAGAGGGAGGGAGAGAGGGAGCGAGGGAGGAAGGAACAGAGGGAGGGAGAGAGGAAGGGAGAGAGGGAGCGAGGGAGGAAGGAACAGAGGGAGGGAGAGAGGAAGGGAGAGAGGGAGCGAGGGAGGGAGGAAGGAACAGAGGGAGGAAGGGGGGGAGGGAGGAACAGAGGGAGGAAGGAAGAGGAGGGAAGGAAGGAAGGAAGAGGAGGGAAGGAAGGAAGGAAGAGGAGGGAAGGAAGGAAGGAATAGAGGAGGAAAGAAAAAAGGAAGGAAGGGAGAGAGGGAGGAAGGAAGGAAGGAAGAGAGGAGGGAACAGAGGGAGGAAGGGAGGGAGGAAAGGAGGGAACAGAGGGAGGAAGGGAGGGAGGAAGAGAGGAAGGGAGAGGAAGGAACAGAGGGAGGGAGGGAGGGAGGAGGGAACAGAGGGAGGAAGGGAGGAAGGAAGAGAGGAGGGAACAGAGGAAGGAAGGAAGGAAGGAAGGAAGGAAGGAAGGAAGGATAAAGAGGATCAAAGTCAGAATAAATGATGAACGAGCGTTTGTGTCTGATTGGAGCCAAATAAAAAGTTCACTTCATCTTTGTGTCAAATCGATTATTATATTAGTCGATTAAAAGAAAAAGACTCGACAGCAACTTTGAAAATCAAACATTTATTTATCAGAAAAAGTTTTTCTCTGTTTCAAATCATTTCCATCTGAATATTTCACCTTTAGTTTTTCTACACTATAAAAAATGATGCAGTAATAAATAGTAACTTCATCAATTCTCTGAACGGCACTTTAGTGACTGTTTGACTCGGACATACCAAAATAAAATTTATCATTCAGCTTTATTTCACAAAATGAAATTCTATTTGTTAGAAATCCTTAATATGTTTGTTAAATTTGACTCAGAATATCTGAGAATGGATTAATTCTACTGATTAGTTTGAAGAACTACAATAATAAGATTATTATTTCAACTTTAACAACAAAGTGAAAAGCTGTAAGAAAGAAAGAGTCAGTGTCTCAGATCAAACAGCTCAGAGTGTTAGAAGGCTGCTCAGAAGCTCTGAGGTTGTGGGTTCGATCCTTATGAGGCTCAGTGACTTTTGAAGTCCAACAGCCAAAGTGAGAAGATAAAAGCGCCCGGAGAAAAGGTTCAGATGTGAAGGGGACTCGGTGGCGGCGTGGGGTTCGATGGCGACCGCGAGGCGCAGGCGGCGCAGCGGTGGTTCGAATCCCGCGTGCGGCCGGGTACCCGGAGCCGGTCCCGCGGCGTCGGGTTCGGTAGGGGGCCGTGTCCCCTCCCGGTGTTCTGGAGAGGTAGAAGCTGGGGGTTATGGAGCGGGAAACAGGAAGTGGCTGAAGTTTTCCTGGAAGATGACTGACAGCACAAGGTCTTTATTGGTCCAGAACAGGTGCTGCTGGGACTCGTGGTGTCAGCTGTCCTCCAGGTGCAGCAGCTGGAAGCGAGTCTTCAGGGCGTGTCCCCAACAGCCTGGAAGAGACAGAAGAAGAAATGAGTCCACAGGTTTGTGACGAGTGAACAGTTTGAAAATCCATCAGTGAGTGAAGCTGCAGACAAGAAACAATAATCCATTCAACAAACAGAGTGTTTCCATGGAGATGATGATGTGAAGCAGCGGTGGAAGAAGCAAAAGCAGCAGCGGCACAGTGTAAAAGTACTGTGTTCGAGTCCCAGTAACAGTATAAAGCATCCTTTATATAGCGCTGGCTATCTGAAGCTAACATGATCCATCAACATGTGATAGTTACTGTGTGTTTGTGTTAATAATGTGCAGAGTGAGTAAAAAGTGCAGCATTTGGCCTGAAATGTAGTGGAGTCCAGGTCTAATGAGGTCCAGGTCAGATGTAATGTCAGTAATATCAGTGTGAGCAGTGGATCAGTAGAATCTGAAGCTGATACAGTAGCAAGTGTATTTAGTGTTAGTTCATTTAGTGTGAGCATGTGAAGAAGAAGAAGAAGAAGAAGAAGAATGTGCTGACCTGGTCTGAGGGAAAGGCTGCTGCGGGACTGTAGAAGGAAATCTGTAGAGTGAGGACATGAAATATATTCAGATGGGACATGACGAGGTTTCAGCCAAACTATCATGAGGAGCACCAAGTAGAAAGTGAGTGTGTGTCACCATGAGAAGGTGGAAATGAAGCGTCAGGCCGTTCATCAGTTTCAGCTGCTGGAAGAAACAGAAGAAAACAACATGAGTCATCTTCTCGTTTGTGCTGGATTTAGTTTTGTTATCCGTCTGTCGTGGTGTTGGACTCCAGGTGAAGGTGATGCTCCCTCTCTGCTGCTCTCACTGAAGGGCCCAGGACACTTGTTCTCCCTCTCCTTACTGATGGAGCTGCACAGACAGAAAAGACCCTCCGTCACAAAGGAAGGAATCGATCCCGAGTCCAACATGCCCTCATTCAAATCGACCACCCGGGGGCGCTATAAATGCAAACCAATTGCAGGTGACATCATGCAAATCAGGCTACAAAATACAAATTGTTTGTCCAATCAACACAAAACTTGTAAGATATTTCTACATAAGCACCTCACACATACACTTTGATGATACACAGGGCAACTTTTTGAGCAATGTTGTTGGGCAATGTTTTGAACGGATAGCGGCGTGCGGGGAGGGTGGCGTAGTGGCGGGAGAAGGGGATTACAGTAGTGATCTGTACTCATTACCATTGACAGCACCATTGCTCTAAAAGTTGCTCCGTGTATCATCAGCTTTACTCTCGTTAAAATTGACCACTAGGAGGCGCTATAAATGCATAATAATTGCATGTAGAATGAAACAAATCAAGCCATAGATCAGAAAATTCTGCACAATGTGTTTTGTAACAATAGTGAACCATGTGTGAGAAAGCAGTTATATTACAATGTTTACTTGTTATGTGGAAGCTCCAGCAGCAGAAGTCACTTTACCCTCGTTCTGACTTTTCTATCAGAGAGAAGGAAAACTGCTGCTGAGTCACTGAGTCTGAGGGTGTGCAGAGCTTCACCTGCCTTCAGCTGCTCTTACAGTGGGGCTATAAAAACTCTCAGCGGCCACCATCTACTCGTTGTTAAAAGTTGTGTACTTTTAAATCTGAGCAATTTTAAGACATTTAATTTGGCAGGAAAATATAAAGTATTATGTTAAATATTTGAACGCAGCTGTAGTTCTCAGTAGTTCTGTAGGCCGACATGGAGAATCCTGATGATTAAATCCACTGGCCAGCTACACCATCATGATGGAAAAAAACTTCTCTGGTCCTTTCCTCAGTTTCAGGTCGCCAAAGCTAAGCCCCGTGGAGGACACTAACAAAGTAGTACTGGACTGAAGTACACAAGGTATTTGTTCTGAACTTGAGTATTTTCTTTTCATGCCATTTTCTACTTCAACACATCTCAGAGGAAAATATTGTACTTTTTACTTCATCCGACAGCTTCAGTTACTAGTTACTTTAAAAAATACATCAAATGTATGAAGAGTTTAAAAATAGGATGTTTTGATATAAATTAAATTACTTAACAGTTTATACAAGCGCAGCAAGTAGAACTACGTCAGTTTGGCTGTTTGACAGTAAATTTAATTGCCTCCTGTTTTGGTATTAGTAAATGTTCATGTAAAAACATTTCATGGTTCCAGCTTCACAAACGTGAAGGTTTGCTGCTTTTACTTGATTTATTTTAATCATTCGTCATATGGGACAGTTTTCTTTCTGCTTTGAGTAGCTACTTTTATTTTTAATTGGCTGCTTCTACATTTTCCAGCTTACAGCCTACTTACATACCTTTATTTAACTTTTCACTGCAGTATTTTTACAGTGTGTACTTTTATTTCTGTCTTAAAGGATCTGAACAGGCCTGTGTTACTTTGCTCACCACTGGCTAAAAAAGCAAAAAGCTTCTGGTCGCAAAGAGGTTGGAGAGTTTTTGACTGCATCAATAATAATTTAGCATTTCAGCAATTTGTCTGTCCTCCCCAACATCAGCTGCTCTCACTGTCTTTGATCCCAGGCAGGTGATTTCATCCAGGAATGGTCAAATCAGCTTCCATCAGCAGAATCAACAAACAGGCTACTGCAGACAATAGGTGCGTTCGAGATGACGGCGGCATAACGAGCTGCAGGTGACCGCAGGGGCGGGTATAAAAGCCGTAAAGTCGGACACATTGTACCTGCGTGAGCTGTGATCTCGCGGCAATTGCAAAGAAAAATGCTTCTGTGTTTATCTTTAGTTAGATTATAGTTTTAGTTCAGTCCCTAGTTTAGATTGTGTCCCTGATTCACATGTTAAGGACTTTGTTTCTGTGCAGGTGTCAGAACATCAAAATATCTGAACAGTGAAACAATCATGATCAAACATTAGACGATGAAACAACATATTTTTATATGTGACTTGCAAGGCCGTTGTGCTGAAAGCATTTTCATTTGTTATTTAACATTTCTTGTTGCTATTTTTCAGAACATTGTTAACAAATGCTTTGAAAAAGTGATGATGACTGCAGCCAGCAGACGGCGCTCTGCCTCTGCAGCTTTGTGTTTGCAGAGACAGAACCCAGAGGGAGAGGAGGGCAGCACAGACTGCAGATAGTATCTACATTCAGTTTAAACAAGGATGAATTCATGGGAGATTTTAGATTAAAGATGAGCAGTGTGGGCCCGCACAGAATTCTGGGTCATTTTCAACTCCACACAAAAGAGCAGCTAGCTGGTGAAATGACAGCAACCGGGAAATTAACTCGATATGAACGAACACAGAAGTGGGTTTCAGAAGCGAAAACTGAAAGAAGCAGCCGAGAAAGAAAAGATCCATATAACAAAATATTAATTTTCCTTAAAAAGACAGACGGGATGGCAGCAACACGAGCTGTTAGCGACAAGAGCCGAAGGGGGCAGCTGCTGCCATAGCAACAGCATCGCACCATCCACCTCAGTGATGATGAGGAGGAGTAACGTTACTTTCTAACTTCTACAGCCTGAAACACTGTGCACGCCAACAGATGTTTCTGAGCAAGCAGATGCCGTATTTACAAAAGTGACATGACCTGGACATTTCCCACGCAGCTCCTGTCCTTCCCAGGTGTTTCAGAGACCGCCTCTGAAAAGCTTTGGGGTAGTCTGCACTGTTCTTCTGCTTTTATTAACAGTCCCAGTGAGTGTGGCCTCTGCTGAAAAATCCTTTTCCAAACTAGAACTTCTCAAATGTGAAGAGCTCACTGGGACAGACACGTTACTTTAACAGTCAAACTTGTCCAGGTCCAAGTTAGTTTAATGAATGATGTCATTAGAAGTTGTTATATACAGCTGGGAAATATTGAAAATCTGTGATATATAATAATAATTCCAGGTCATATTGTCCCCACTGTTTTTTCATCATCACCATTTAAACTGCATTCTATTAAAATAGTATAAAAAATAAATTTTAACTTGTGTTGTAACGTTTTGTTTACTTGCCGCAGCCTGACAGGAAACAGCAGCTCTTAGATCTTACAGGAGAAAGAGGAAGGTGTAGTAAAGGTTAAATGACAGTTGGTCACAGTAATGCACCACCAAGCAGCTAGTAAATCAATTAATCAAATAAACTTCCACTTGTGGAAATGTTTTATGAGGAGGGAAAAGCATTCAACACATTTGTTAGACCACATACGTTCTGTCTACAGAGGGCACCTTCAAATAAAGTTTAAAGAAATTAAGACTCCCAGAAATCCTCTCTGCCTCCACGACCACACATAAAACATGGTCTAAAAACAATCACACTTAACAAAATCATAAAATTCGGCTTAATAACTGTCAAGATTTGTCTCGTTGACCATCATTAGCTTCAGCTTCAGCTTCATCTCCTCATAGCTTAACTAATTACATGTTGTTTATACTATTTCTTAGTCACCACTGGTTCAGTCAGCCAGCCCGTCCAGGGAGAAGTGCTTCCTGAAATACGCCTTGTGATTGGACGGTACTTCAGCAGACAGCCGAGCATCGGCCAAGAGCAGAATGGCCCTGCCTCCCGGCATTTTTTCAGATCCTCAGTTAATTTTCAGAGTTTGAAATCTTTTTTCCAACATAAGAGCACATAAGAGTTTTCTGACCACCATTTACAAGGTTTCAAAGCTGTAAAACAAACTAATACACTATGAGATTCACCCTTTCAAAGGAAAGTTTCAACATTTTGAAACCTTATTGCCAACATATGTGTGTGATAGACTGATTGATTTTAGACATGTGCTAAATAGGCAATGAAATAATCATAGAAATATACTTATAATATAACTTCAAAATATACATCAAATAAAATCATGTAAAATCCGGGAATGTTCTTCGATAAAAGTATTTTTTAACAAGGGATTTAAAAGAGTTTACTGAGTCGGCCTAATTTCCTCAGGTAGATTGTTCCAGAGCCTCGGTGTCCAAACTGCAAAGGCTCTGTCCCCTCTTAATGTCTTGGTACTTCTATATTTCAGACTTGGGCTTCAGAAATGCTTGGGAAAATGTAGCATGTGTGGACGATAACTATTTCATATTACAAAAATTACTAAGAGTAATTATAATATTAGTAATTAAGAGTCTCAAAAAGTATTTTACCCACCTGTGAATGCCAATATTTCAACAGTTTATATAAAACACAGAGTTCCTGTCCACCACTGGAAATAACCTCATCTTAACACTTCAGAGCTGCCTGTAACTTTCCAGCTTGCCTCTGCAGCCAACAGCTGTTGTTCTCCTTGTCGATGTACCGTAGCACGAGCACCAGCTGACAGTGGGTGGAGATGTCAGCTGTCTCATCTGCCTGAAGAGCAAGATAATCTACAGTTTTTACTTCCTCCAGACTTCAAGAACTGACAGCATGCAGTCCAAAAGTTCTTTTTGCACGGTCTTTGAGGTGCCTTTGAAAACGGTAGCTGTCTTAAGATCATCGTCTATATCATCAATATATCAATATCAATAACATCGTCACGTGTCCCTCTAACACCGACTGACTGTCTTGGAGCAGATCCTGCAGCGTCCTGCAGGCGTCAGATTTGAGGACGCTGATTGGCTTAATTTCTCTCTCCGGCGCCCCAGAAGAGATCAGTGGATGAGCAGGAACCCAATTTCACACCCAAACGTAATAATTTAGCCTATATATTACACATTATTGTGCATTTTAAACACACAAATACTTCAAAGTAATTACTGTTTATTTTAAAAAGAAAAATCAAAACACTTTCCACCCATAGACTCATGCATAGACTGTATATAAAAAGTTTCCACCACCACTTTACTTTACAAAGTGTTTTATTAGAGCTGAAAACACAAGAATTCTACAATCTGCACAGTTTCATAAATGTGAAGGCCGCAAACACTTTAAGGGCAAAACACAGTGACTAAATGTCTCAAGCTGTAATACACTATATGGCCAAAAGTATGTGGACACCTGATTTCCAGCACATGTTGAACCTGCTGCAGGGATTTGCTCCCATTCAGACAGCCGGGCCCAGATGTTCAGAAGTGATTGGATTGGATAAAATCTTTAAAATGGGTTGTTCAAAAGAAAAAGATCACCTGATCCTAACTTTGTTTTGATCTGGATCAAACCTTCAGTATGTGTTTTTAGTTGGTGGGATCCCTTTGATCCAAAATAATTAGGATAATCCTGATCCCAACAGAAGGGTGGATTCAGGGTGGATTTTCAGAACAGAATGTAATCAAACTTCAGAATCTGTCAAATAATATAACACATAATAACATTTTCTATCATGTACCAGCTTATACACACATTTATTTATATTTTGCACTTGATTTGTTTAAACTTTACAGTAATAGAGTAGACATTACTGTACTGAAAGGCTTAACAGGTAAAAACTAAAAAACTAACTTATTACTGTACGTTAATTACAATGACACCATCATCAAAAGTAGTTTCTGACAATTGTATCCCTTATTGCAGGTTCAGTCAGTCCCTCATTCTGAAATCCGCCTAAAATGTAAAAACTGGTCTCTTTACAAATAAAGAAGAGCTCTGACATTCTTTATTTTGTTAACAATTGGACATTTAGCCCTTTTATGATACTATATACATATAGATATATAGATAGATCGATCGATCAATATATAGAGATATAGATATAGAGATATATCGATATGACATACAGCAAGCAAAAAAATTATAAATGTTAAGATAAAACAACCACATTCAAAAACATCAGAAGGATATTAAAGGGGCAGAAGGTACAAGTCAACATCATTTCCATCATTTAATGATCAGAGCTTTTATCTTTAAAGGACCAGAAGTGGACGATGTTAACAATGTAAATGAGGAATCACTTTGATTCATTGATGAATTTATAAGAAGAACCTGAAAGACCTCTGCAACTGTGATCCTGTACGACTCAACTGATCTGTTCTCCAACAGGAGCAGATTCTCCCTCCTACAGAGACACTGAAGAATAAGGGTTGAGCCAGAACCCAAAGCCAGGATAAAGAGGTTCAGTGAATGTGGCGTTGAAGGTGTGGAGGTGGATCAGTGTGTCAGAGGAGACTCTGTAGAAGGACAGAATGCCAGCAGGCCAGTCCAGATACACTGCTACTCTGTTAGAGACAGAGGAGGTGGAGATGGATGTTCCTCTGTCATTGTGCCAGGCAGAGTAACCTTCTGGATAGCAGTCCAGTCTCCAGGACTTATCATTCCCTCCAAAATAATTGTATTCAGAGCTTCTCCTCTTGCTGATTCCTCTGTAACTCATTGCTACAGTAACTTTTTCTGTCCACTCGACCTCCCAGTAACAGCGACCAGTCAGACCAGTTGTACACATCACCTGAGACCAGAAGTTAAACCTGTACGGATGATCAGGATTTGACAGATACTCCCACACATGTGTCGCCTTCCTGTTGTTGTCAGACAGCTTGGTATTTTGATTTGCTGTGTTTATGTCGAGTGTGAGTTCACAGGAATCTGATGGAGAGAACAGCTGCAGTTATTGATCTATCCTCTGTTCACTGATTGTCATCAGATATTTGTTGAATGTTTGCTGTTTTGTTTTCATGAATCACATGAAAAACACACTTACACTTCCTCAGACCTGGTTTCAACCATCGGACTCCAGCAGGCTCCACCCTGAAAGAAGAGAGGGGGGTCAGACCAGCATCAAACATGGACATTACATTCCTCTCATACACATTTACACATTATGTTCATCTGGCCTGCTTCTCCCTGCTCCCCCTAAACCTCTAAGATAAAAGTTACAAAGACAAAGATTACGGATGAAAGAATGGAACAGCAAACAGGGGTAGCAGGGACTGTCTGTGTCATCAACGTCCACAACAGCTCCAGATATTTACAGAGCTCAATGTTAAACCTTTTTGCAAACGGCCCCACTGGGCCAGTTGGTTTAAAACTTACTGGACCTCCTTCCAAAAGTTATTTATCAGTGTTACAACAAAACCAAAGACTTAGAAGTTATGTTCTACAGTTAACATGTTTAATCGGTTATTAAATACATCCTGGAAATAAAAAAACTAAAATATCACAATTAAAATTATAAAAAATAAAAATGGTAACAAAACAATTTACTTTTAAAACAAAACATCCTAACAGACTCAAACATGACGTGCTCTCTCTCCTGCTGACAGACATTTAATAAAAGACATGTACACAGAGCAGCGGACACGAGTCGCCTCTATCCTGACTGACAGGTTGCCATGGTAGCGACCTGTCAGTCACAAGGTTGTCCCGCCCAATAAGCATACGCTGCATTATCGTCTATTTTGTGTTGAAGAAGACTTGAAACCAGCGACTGAGACCATAAACTCAATGATCAGATGAGAAGTAGCAACTTTTTATTTCTAATGGAAACGGACTTCTTTTTGCAATCAGTGGACTCGCCCCTGCTGGCTGTTAGAGAGAATGCAGGTTTAAGTTCCCTCTGCATGGTTTCACTTTCAGACCCAGAGGTTGCTGCTTGATTAAGAAGATTAGAGAAATAACATTTGACCACTTGTCACGTAACTACAACGGTGGATTGGATAACGGTGCGCGCCATGAGCTGCAAAACAACTGCAGGATGTTAAGTTTCTAACTTTAAAAGAGGTGGTATTCTGCTCATTTTCAGGTTCAAAATCTTAATTAGAGGTTGTACCAGAACAGGTTTACATGCTTATATTTTCAAAACACACCATATTTTCCTCATCCTGCACATTGCTGCAGCTCCTCTTTTCACCCTGTGTGTTGGACGCTCCGCTCTTGAGCTACAGAGTGATGCATCTTACTTGTACAAAATCTTTGTTGGGAGTTGCACATGCGCAGTTCCCAGGTAAGGACTACTAGCCAATCAGAAGCAGAGAAGGGCGGGTCGTAAGAAACAAGGTAGTGTGATCCAAATCAAAGCCGCTTCAGACTGAGACCCTAACCTAGCAGATGGTAGAAGTTACTCTCAAGTCCACAACATCATTGTTCCACATCTCACCATCAGGACTAAACGTTGAACTGTTGCCGAAAACTGATTGCCGTCTGCTGGAGCTGTATTGTCCAGTCCCTTCAATCACTTTCTGACAAGTGAAATAGCCTACTGCATTTTTTGGGTTGTATTGGCCATTTAAAGGTATTATAAGAGGTAAAAAAGTACTAGGTGAGCTATAATCTGTCAAATATAACTGTTCTGAATGAAATCAACTAATTTCAGGGCAGAAATAACCTTTCAGTCAATAACAAAAGGCTTCAATCATTTTCTGGCGTGAAGTGAAATACTGCATTTTTTGGGTTGTATTGGCCATTTAAAGGTATTATAAGAGGTAAAAAAGAGTGGATTGGTTGGTAGGTCTACACAGCAAGTAAAATAGGATAACTGCAAAATTGTCTTCATTTTATATCTAAGTTGGCAGTAAGTCATGTTAATTAGGCTACAGCCTGTTTTCCAAATATAAACAAAGATATTACACATAGGCCACTCGCGGAGCTCCTCAACTCCGAAAATATTCAAGCATTTTTGTTCCGCCGTCACTTCTCGTAAAACTGTCAATATTCAAAATCTACACAGCTGATTTCACCTCAAAACTTCTCAGAAGTGGATGAAATAAAGTACGAAACAGTAAAATATAAAACTTCCTGTTGCTGCCTCTGTCTGGTGCAGCAATGATGATGCAGTGAATAGTGAATATTCTTAGTCGTGTTTTCACGTTACATTTTAGTTTCCCTCAGCTCGCTTGGAACCTCGACGGAGGACATATGAAAAAAAGTACCTGGAAGCAGGTACAGGTGCAACATTTCTACAATGGAAACCCAAACAAAGGCGAGTCGAGCCAAAGGGCCTCCGCTCAGACTAGCTTGGTTTGAGGGCGTGTCTGACCCCGCTAGCCGCTTGGCGAGCTTTATGACGCGTTTTCATTGTGACGTCAAGGGCTGGACTACAAACGAGCTGTTTTCAAGCGTTCAGAGCAGAGTTTTCTGTGGGAGATGGGAACTCCCTTTGGGCTGGACTTTGGGCTTTTTTACTCTGCAAACCAGTTACAAGCACAAAAAAGAATATAACTCAATGAAGGAGAGGGGAAAAGCCAAAAAAGCATAATACCACCTCTTTAAAAAAAGGAAACAACAATGTTTTGATCAGGCCAGTGAGTTGCTAGTTCAACTGTCTTGACTTTTTCCTGGCCCCGGGCCATCGGGCCACCGTTATTGTCAAGCCCTCTATTTAGATTGCTAGATATCTGTATGCCACTGATCGATGGCTGATTTGCCCCCAGTCACAACCCAACTGTCTGAGTTCGGGCTTTAAATTGTGTAGTGTGAACTAGTCTTGACTGCGGATTATAGCCTCTCATAGCTTAACTGTAACTTTACTTGGCTAAACACAGGACTGTGTAGCTTTTGATCAATGTACATTTTTCACTGAGATTTATTCCTGTGATCCTTTAACTTGAGGTTATCGTGTTCTCAGCCAACGCCACACATGCAGAAAGAAACTTAACGTTCCCACTGCACATGCTTTCTTTGTTCTACACCTGTATCCAGGCTTGTGCACACCAGCCATACAGCTGAGAACAAAGACACACTGTCTATCACACACACACACTCTTCTTTTATCTTCTATCTGGTGAATATAACTTTAAGTAAAAGAGATGAAACTGATTCGATCCCGGGTAAGAGGGCAAACAAGGTTATTTCTCAAAATGACAGTTATTATATTGTTATAATTACATATTATTACCAGACAATTATCATGTTCATTCCTGGAGATGTTCTCCTTGGAGATCTCCTACAAAAATATTTCCGTTTTATGTTTAGTTAGTGTTTCTCTTCTGAGCAAAAGAAAAAGGCTTCCTACATGTGTGATTGTTCATATAATCATATCAACACTCATGTAGGAGCCATTTTAATGTTGTACGTCGCCGTTTGGCCAGTAGGTGGTACCATAGTGCCGGCATATCTAATTGGGGCTCATCTACTTAGGAGGACAGGTGCAACCAGGCACAGGTGTTGCCCGAGGGAAAGGCCAACTAGTTTTTGACCTCCACAGATGCAGCTGCTGTGGCTGGTGCAGCAGGAGTCAGTGGATTCCTGGCCTTAGCCGTTACAACTCATATCCAACATTAACCAAAAAGACCTCCTCTATCAGACAGTCTGTGGCTGCAGCAGGCCTCTTCATACCTGAGAGTGTCCAGTCTGCAGTGTGGATCCTCCTGTTTAGCAGACAGCAGCTTCACTCCTGAGTCTCCTGGATGATTGTAGCTCAGGTCCAGCTCTCTCAGATGGGAGGGGAGAGCTGAGGCCAGAGAAGCACAACCTTCCTCTGTGATCAGACAGCCTGACAGTCTGGAAACACACAAAACGACACAAACATGAACCCTCTGTGAACAAGAGGCGGTAAAGTTTTTCTGTTTGTTAGTTTTTTGTTCAGGTACATTTTTGTTCCAGATGAAAATTTTAAACAAATCTTTAAAATAATTTGTGGCATTTAATATAAACAGCAAACAACAAAACAACAAACAACAGAAAATCACAAGAAATTTTAATGTAAAGTAATTCTCTGAGTCTAGAAACAACTGCCGGTTGAAGTTAAAGGTCCTTGACAAATTATATTATTAGACATCCACTTATGTGAATCAGATTTTAAATAGCCATCAATTGAGTGAGTTAATCAATCCTGACCTGAGCGTTTCCAAAGTACAATGTGGACTCCTCAGTCCTGCACACAGCAGCTTCACTCCTGAATCCTGCAGGTTGTTGTTACTCAGGTCCAGCTCTCTCAGACTGGAGGACTGGGAGCTGAGAACTGAGCACAGAGCTTCACAGCTTCTCTCTGAGAGGTTACAGCCACTCAGTCTGGAGAGGAAATACCATTTGTTTTAAAATGTTGAGTCTCAAAATTTGGTGATACACTACACTGAATATAATCTCTTCTCAGCTCACATGTTAGAATCATTGCTATTTTACTTTGAACATGTTGAAGATGTGGCAACTAATCATGACTGAATCAGTAAAATGAACCTGCAATGATAATAAATTGCATAATATTGAATAGGGCTGACCCCGAATAGATTCAGTGCTTCGGTGGGCGAAACCAATCTCACAGTCAAATCTTTGCAGTGGCGTTATGAAAGTTTTCTCCCAATAAGTTAATATATAACCAATTATGATATAAATTTCAACATACGGCGTTGGTGCGCTTCAGCAGTGTGTGTGGCAGACAAGAACGAGAGACCATCAGCTGTGCCGGTGTTGTTCAAACCTCGAGGGTGGATTGATGAAACACAAAGAATATTATATTGTTTTTAAACAGCGGGCTACTTGGAATAGACCTGTGACGTGCATGCAGTTGTCGGCCGTACGGCATGTACGCAAATCTCTGCACAAGAACGGTGAAGGCGAGCGGAGAGAAACGAGTCAACAATAAGCATCTGAAGCTGTAAATGTACAGTGTACGTTACAGTGAGTAATGAACAGAGACTGTAGCTCTGCAGCTTCAAGATTAAAGGTTCGGTGTAAATGTAAATGCTCTGTATTTATATAGCGCCTTTCTGGTCTTTGCGACCACTCAAAGCGCTTTTACACTACATCACATTCACCATTCACACACTGAGCCCAAGTGCTCACACTGGTGGAACAGCCACCAGGGGTAATTCGGCGTTCAGTATCTTGCCCAAGGACACTTCGACATCCGGAAGAGCCGGGGATTGAACTGCCGATCTTCCGATTAACGCTCTATCTCCTGAGCCACAGCCGCCCCCAGTGTGTAAGATTTGTGATGAGTGGCATCTAGTGGTGAAGTTACGAAGTAACCATCTGTCCAGCCTACCACTGCCCCCGAACCCTTCAAAGAGTAGACAGCTACGGTGGCTGACACAGCACAAAAGGTGTCTCTTCTGAGACAGCAGAGAGTGGTCAGTCAAGAAATGAGGTTTATTTAGGTAGATACAGTAGTTAGGGTGTAGATCTAGAAGCTCAGATCAGACACCTAAACTTCACATTTTACTGCCCTGGTAGAAAAACTATGTAGCTGGATTGTAATATCATGTAACGTGATTTATTCTCCGGGCTTTGGCTGGAGATAAATGTGTTTCTTGTAAATGTGCCATTTATGTTCGTGGGACAATCAGCTGATTAACTGGCAATAAAACCGTAACCTAACGTTACAGATGGAAGTTCAGATCAGCCAGCTGAACTTCACATTTTACTGCCCTGGTGGAAAACACTTTACTGCTAACAGCGTTATGATAACAAGACCTTTCTGAACTTAATACATTACGTTGTTTATAATGGACTGAGGTGCAGAAACAGTGAGCTTTACTTTTTCCTGTTATCTGTGTTAGTCCAGATGAGCCAACCCTCCCAACAAACTGCATGATAACAGTACAGTAAAATAATGTATTACAGCAGTATGGGACATCATTTATTGATGTTGCTGTTGTTTGATGAACAATAATAATCATATGGTTTTACTGAAAAATTATTTAAAATATACTTTATTAATATATCTATCTAAAGCAGAGGTCGGAAACCTCTGGCATGCAGAGACATTTTAGGTGGCACGTGAGAAAGCAAACTCAATCCTACTGTACCGACATATGCCGCTACGTTGTTTAATGTTACATTGAGTAAGTGAAAAAACAGATGATCAACCACCATGATGAATTAATTTCGACATTATTATTATTGTTATTGTAAGCTACTTTGTTGAGTAGAGGCTTTTATTTTGAAGTGGGGGAGAAACGGAAGTTGTGATGCTGTTCCGGTTCAACAATGTGCAAGAGACGAAGAAAAATAAATAAAGATGTCCCGTCTTGGTTCAGACAACAGAACCTCCGTGTTGTTATTTTGGTAGCCACATAAAACGTATAGGCGAACTAATAACCGCTCGGTTACATTATTATTATTATTATTATTATGGTCTATAGAAATGCTTCCATTTTATAGAAAAAAATAACACCTTCAGCTGCAGCGGAGCGCTGTCTGTCAGACTGGGCCAAAGTAAAACACTACATTTTTAGGGGGGATACGAGCGGCCCCTCCCAACTTGGCCTGATCCTCGTTTTTGCTGTAATCTGATTGGCTCGAAGGCGCAGATTAAAAGGAGTTTACTTTACATCTGGTTTGTGTGACAAGTGCAGCAGAGACAGAAAATATGGTGAAAAAATGTGTATTTAGAAGATAAAATGTTGACAGTATAAGAGGCATCTGTAACTATTTTAGCCCTCTGGATGACTGTACACATGACATGTTGGCAGTTAACAGTACTGTGACTTAAGTGTTCCAGCTCAGGCTTGACCTGCTCTTGTTCAGTGCAGTGGTGACTTGCTTATTAAAACCAAAGAGGCAGGTGTCATCCTAAAGTTTCTTGAAGGTCTTCAATACCACAAAACACGCCATCAGTATTTTTAATTGAAAAAATGTTGTGGCATTGTTATTGCATATGAACAGTGAAAGAAAGGTTATGAATGTATGGGAAATAAAGATGTTGAGCTAAATAAGTTGGTTTATTATCATTGATGCACTCATCTAGCAAAATCTGTTGATTGAGGAGTTTTTTTGCAATTCATTGCAATTCGCAACCCTCAACACTAGATGTCCCTGAAACTTCCACACTTAACGTGTACATGCTCACATCTGTACCAAATGTGACAGGTGTGATAACATTCAAGTCACAGCACCATGCATCAACACTGTCCCCGAAAAGCCTCAACACGGTGATGACGCTATGCTGTGTAGCTTACATCGTGTCTGTGGCGGCAAAGGTCCACGCTTCGCCATGACACAGGAAGTTGTTGTATCTTGACTGTAAATGCTCAAATCTGTACCAAATTTTACACGTTTGATAAAAGTCTCACCCTGAACACATGTGCAAACTCATTAACTGATGGTCACAGCGCCACCTACTGGCAACAGGCAGTAAGCTCTGACACTCTGTGTTTTAAATAACATTTTCTCAATGTGTTCCACACTTAATGTACTGGGACAAAACGTACAGTTACTGGTTGCTCCTTTGCGCCACACTGGAGACACAGGAAGTGACTTTTACGTATTTTGTGCAGCGTGACATTTCAGAGGTGCATCAGGAAAGCTGCGGCATCTGCAGTGCGGACGCAACACTATCTGAGGCTCTTTACGTGCGAGGGCTCGTCCAGTGCTGCTTGCAGCTTTAATATTTTAACTTAGTCTGTGGCATGTGATTCTTTTACCTGTAGGTAGCGCCACATGATTTAAAAATAGCTAATGGAGCAGTACTTTGCAGCAGCATTGGTAGCAGTCACAGCTATCAGCTAACAGCTCTCACACGCATTTACTTGTACTATGTAGTGACAAAACACGCTCTGTAGTGCAACATGGCAACCTCCATGTAAGGAGACCCGCGCTGTATGTAGATCGAAATGACTCATTCTACGGTAATAAAAACATTACGGATCATTATGTGAGGTCTTTATTCACCACTGAAAACACAGTTATGGATATTGTTTACTAGGTCCTCAGAAATATTACACACTGGACCTTTAAAGCGGAGCAATCGCTGCCCTGCCACCGCACAAACATTCGATTCAACTAAAGGCAAGACTTGACAATTCTGATTCGCCTATAAATCCTTAGTCGGGGACAGCCCTAGTATTACATATAAATGAGGTTTCCCATCTCAGCCTGATTTATTTCACGCTGTATAATATGTGAATCTGAATTACAATAAAATACATTTGTAAATTCAATGACTGATTGTTCTGTGAAATGAGAGACTGGTTAAATAAAATGAAGCTTGATATTTAGAGAAATAACTTCAACATATTCAGACAAACCATAACTTTATCTGACCTGAGGGTTTCCAGTTTACAGTGTGGACTCTGCAGTCCGACAGACAGCTTCACTCCTGAATCCTGCAGGTTGTTGTTACTCAGGTCCAGCTCTCTCAGACTGGAGGACTGGGAGCTGAGAACTGAGCACAGAGCTTCACAGCTTCTCTCTGAGAGGTTACAGCCACTCAGCCTGGAGAGGAAATAATCGAGAACAACAAGACAACAAACATTTGTTTTAAAACACTGAGTTTGGACTTTTGCTGATACAATATCTTTTCAGCAAGTGTTAAGATCTTTGTTGTTTTACTCTAAACATGTTGTAGATATGAGAATTAACCATCTTTGCACCAGTAATAAATAAACCTGCAATGATAATAAAGTGCATAGTATTAAACATAAAGTAGGTTTTCCATCTCAGCCAGATTTATTTCACGCTGTATAATATGTGAATCTGAATTACAATAAAATATATTTGAAAATTCAATGATTGATTGTTCTGTGAAATGAGAGACTGGTTAAATTAAATGGAGCTTGATATTTAGAGAAATAACTTAAATATTTTAAGACAAACTGTAACTTTATCTGACCTGAGTGTTTCCAGTTTCCAGTGTGGACTCCTCAGTCCTGCAGACAGCAGCTTCACTCCTGAATCCTGCAGGTTGTTGTTACTCAGGTCCAGCTCTCTCAGACTGGAGGACTGGGAGCTGAGAACTGAGGACAGAACTTCACAGCTTCTCTCTGAGAGGTTACAGCTACTCAGTCTGGAGAGGAAATACCATTTGTTTTAAAATGTTGAGTCTCAAAACTACACTGTATATAATCTCTTCTCAGCACATGTTAAAATCTTTGCTGTTTGACTTTGAACATGTTGGAGATGTGGCAACTAATCTTGACTGAATGAGGAATAAACAGACGACCAGTGGAACTGTAACCCCAGCTCTCAAAGAAGAGGAGTCAGTGCGCATGTGTGTAGTGGCAGAGGAGGAACTAGGGCTGATTTATTGGCTTTACTGGTGTTGTGCAGAGTTGTCGGCACCTCACGGGACATTCGGATCATTTATCACCATTGATGAACCACACAAAGATTATTATATCAGTTTTAGACAGTTACTTGAAATGGAGCCGCTGTTGGGAATTATTTTGGAGCATTATAGCCTAAATTGTTATCATTAATTACTAGAGCAATGGTGGTCGAGATTGTCATCATTTAAAGTGTTATTTTATAGTGTAAAGTTAGATCACAGTGTTAAAACTCTACAGCTCTGAGTGTGTGTGCTTTGGCAGAAAAGGGAGGGAGCACAGTGAGGCAGCATCAAAAACACCTGCAAAGGAAAATATAGAAGCAGATTTTGTGCAAACTGTATTACAAAACGTACAGTCCATCACAGTAAGAATGTCCTGTTTCTAGCACAGAGCACAAACAACACCAGTTTATTCCATAAAAGTCAGGTTATGGATGAAATGGCATGATCAAGCAGAGAGCATGCAGAGGACACAGAGAGGAGGAGCAGGCAGTCAGGGACTTTCCCACCAAATGTTTAGGCACGTGAAAATCTTGGACTTTCCCAGACTCAGGTGCAGTAGGAAAGAGAGCCAAGAGATGATGTGAAGCCAAGAAACAGAGCTATAAAAGGAGGTCCAGAAGGAGGTTGTTACATGGTTTTCATGTCGACTCTGTTCTGGTTACAGAATGGGACTCTATTTTGCACCGATCTCTAAAACACTCCGGTGGAACTTTTGTGTTCTAATTGGTGTCTGTTTTTGTTGATAATAAAAATGTTGGTAAAAGTTCAAGCTTTCTTATCTGGCCCAAGTCTTGAATTTTTACACGACATTACCGCGAGGAAGCGCGATGTGCGGCACGCAAAACTCTGCACAGGACCGGTGAATAGCAGGCGAGCAGAGAGAAAATGATCAACAATAAGCCTCAGTTTATTTGTAGTTTAGAGTGTAAGTTACAGTGACTATTAAACAGAGACTGCAGCTCTGCAGCTTCTCAAGATCAAACCGTGTGTAACCCTCGCTGCTCACAATCACCCTGCACAAGCACGTACATGATTCGACTATAGGCAGGACTTGACAATTCTGATTCGGCTTATATAGTTCATATTTCATTCTGAACAATATCTGAATACAACAAAATGCAAGCTACACATGATCACAGCTACTATCTGAGTGGTTATACAGACTCAGGCTGGAGAGACATCACTAACTAAATAAATAAGGTATTTATTTTTTCCTCCTGTTGAAAGATAGCAGAGTATTTATTGATGAATAAATCTCACTTACAGAGCTTTCTTGGAGGCTCTGACCACTGGCAGCAGCCTCAGAAGAGCCTCCTCTGAAGCAGAGAATTTCTTCAGGTCAAACACGTCCAGATCTTTTTCTGATGACAGTAAGATGAAGACCAGAGCTGACCACTGAGCAGGAGAGAGTTTATCTGTGGAGAGTCTTCCTGAACTCAGGGACTGTTGGATCTTCCCCACTAGAGAACGATCATTCAGTTCATTCAGACAGTGGAACAGATTGATGCTTTTCTCTGCAGAGGGAGTCTCTTCAATCTTCTTCTTGATGTACTTGACTGTTACCCGTTTGGTCTTTGAGCTACTTCCTGTCTGTGTCAGCAGGCCTCGTAGGAGAGTCTGATTGGTCTGCAGTGAAAGTCCCAGGAGGAAGCGGAGAAACAAGTCCAGGTGTCCATTTGGACTGCAAAACGCCTGGTCCACTGCACTCTGGTAGAACTGTGTCACTGCAGATTCATCTTTTCTTGTTTGAGACTTCTGGGAGGTTGATTGTTCTTCTGCCAGCAGATTGACACCAGAGTTGATGAAGGTCAGATGGACATGAAGAGCAGCCAGAAACTCCTGAACGCTCAGATGGACGAAGCAGAAGACCTTGTCCTGGTACAGCCCTCTCTCCTCTTTAAAGATCTGCGTGAACACTCCTGAGTACATTGAGGCTGCTCTGATATCGATGCCACACTCTGTCAGGTCTGATTCATAGAAGATCAGGTTTCCTTTCTGCAGCTGCTCAAAAGCCAGTTTTCCCAGAGACTCAATCATCTTCCTGCTCTCTGGACTCCAGTGTGGATCTGTCTCAGCTCCTCCATCATACTTGATGTTCTTCACTTTGGACTGAACCACCAGGAAGTGGATGTACATCTCAGTCAGGGTCTTGGGCAGCTCTCCTCCCTCTCTGGTCTTCAACACCTCCTCCAGAACTGTAGCAGAGATCCAGCAGAAGACTGGGATGTGGCACATGATGTGGAGGCTTCGTGATGTCTTGATGTGGGAGATGATTCTGCCGGCCTGCTCCTCATCTCTGAACCTCTTCCTGAAGTACTCCTCCTTCTGTGGGTCAGTGAACCCTCTGATCTCTGTCACCATGTCAACACACTCAGGAGGGATCTGATTGGCTGCTGCAGGTCGTGTGGTTATCCAGAGGCGAGCAGAGGGAAGCAGGTTCCCCCTGATGAGGTTTGTCAGCAGCACATCCACTGAGGTGGACTCTGTAACATCAGTCAGGATCTCATTGTTGTGGAAGTCCAGAGGAAGTCGACACTCATCCAGACCGTCAAAGATGAACACAACCTGGAACTCTTCAAACCTGCAGATTCCTGCTTCTTTGGTTTCAGGAAAGAAGTGATGAACAAGTTCCACCAAGCTGTACTTTTCCTCTTTCAGCACATTCAGCTCTCTGAAAGTGAATGGAAATGTGAACTGTATGTCCTGGTTGGCTTTGTCTTCAGCCCAGTCCAGAGTGAACTTCTGTGTTAAGACTGTTTTCCCAATGCCAGCCACTCCCTTTGTCATCACTGTTCTCATTGGTCTGATTTTTGAGGGTTTAAAGATGTCTTCTTGTCTGATGGTTGTTTCTGGTCTGGCTGGTTTCCTGGATGCTGTTTCAATCTGTCTGACCTCATGTTCATCATTGACCTCTGCAGTCCCTCCCTCTGTGATGTAGAGCTCTGTGTAGATCTGGTTCAGAAGAGTTGAGTTTCCTGCTTTAGCAATCCCCTCAAACAAACACTGGAACTTCTTCTTCAGCTTAGATTTAAGTTTAGGCTGACAAACTGAAGAGGGAGTTCCTGAATGAACACACAACAAAAAATACCAGTAACCTTAAGATAAAGCCAATATTTCACCATTCCTAAAGAATTAGTATTTGAACATATTTCCCTCCATCTCATGAGACATCAGTAAATGTCCTGTTTATCCAGCAGGTTAAATCTTTAGAGAAATCCTCTTACTGCTCTGCAGACTGTCAGCCAGCTCGTCCTGCTTCATTTTCCTCATGAAGCACAGTGTGGTCTTCAGAAAAAACACTTCCTCATCCTCCCGCTGAATCTCTAAGCGTTGGTCATCTGAACTCAGAGCCTTCTTGAACTTCTTCAGTTCATTATTCATAAAGGTTTTCATTTTCTCCTCCAGCAGCTGGAACAGAAAATTATATTAACAACACAATCAACCTAAAATCATGAACCAAACATCAGATCCATGTTGGACAGACTGACACTAAAAACTGCAGCCTGGAGATTATTGTGAACAGAATAGATGGAAAATGAGTTGTTGTACATGTACAGACCATAAATACGGAGTCCAGGTGTGTTTGATGCTGCTGGGCAGACTGACCAATGGGAACCTCTGAACTCTCCTGGTCGACTCTGGAGGAATCATGAAGAATTAGTCTCATTATGTCTGTCCACACAGAGATAAACACAAGGTAAAGGTTTGTGGTTGTGTGTTGGTGCGACCACAGTTGGGCACCTGGCGGAGCTACACACCAGTAACTCATCATACAACCATCCATGGCTTATATCCCCCGTACTTCTTGTCACCAGATTATTCCTCACCTCTCCTGGTGCCGAGGAAACAATGACCGGCTCGCCGTACATTATCCTTTACATAACGTAATCCCAGAATGTGCAACTTAATGTCAAAGACACAGTTCAATTGTTTCTGTAATCTGAAGTCCAATTTGAGTTTCAGTCTATGGCCTCCACTATGGGGCTTCTCCGTTCTTCTGTTTTGTGGTGCAGTTGTTAACAGAGGAATTGCAGAGCGTCCTCTGGTGGCCAAACTATGCAACACGCATGACATGAGTGAAGGATACAACTCTGTTTTGGTTAAATTTAAACTCGGGCACTGAATAAGTGGTCGTTCCCCCTCACTTTAACAAAGTTGTCAAAAATGAGATTAATTTATTTAACTCACTCAAAAGTGTCCAAACATTGTTCTAAATTAACTTCATAAAGCAATGAAACAAAAACTCCATTCATGCCATAAAATGTGCTCAGATAATGTTTGAAAGACTGAATCTCAACATTTAGGTGACTGGAAACTCACAACATGACTACAGTCTCTATAGTAGGCCTAAGAAAGCTATATTAACCTACAATAGATGGCCTACATTCATATTAAAATTAGTATTTCAATATCCCTACCAAACTGCTCATAATATTTAGCCTCACATGAGAAAAATAAAACCTATTTATTTTAACGGCTGCGTCAGGGTGTGTGAGAAACAAACAAATAAAGCAAATAAAAAAATATTAAACACTTTTCAAAGCAGCAAGTAGGCTTATCCTGCTGTAAAAACCTGTAGGCAACAGTAACCTAAGGCTTTTAATCAGTCTCTGTAGGATTATATCGCAGGTTAGCCGTTCAGCATAAGTTACCATGGAGATCTACCCCGGTAAGAAGTGAACCACCAAATGTGGACAGTTCTTGTGAACTACACACATTTGTCTCTAGTTCATCACTTTGATATATTCTCTAAAGTCATGTAACGTTACAAGCTAAACATTTTATGTGTTTATCTTAATAGACCACATGTTTTCAAAAAAGGAGCTTTGCACACAACCTCATCAGAGCTAATGACAATATTAGTAAATTTTAGCCCACCATGGTCAACTTTAATCATTTTCCAACAACAAAAATGTGGCTAGTGAAAATGCTGCGTGGCTAGTAACTTTGGAAAACTACTAGCCACATTGGCTAGTGAGCAAAAAAAGTTAATATCAAGTCCTGGTTGTAGTTATAACGTTAGTTAAATGAAATCTCAAAGCTGCAGGTCCTCGTTGTAGAGAGTCATGTAGTATTAGATACATTCAACAGCAGCTCACTGGATCACAGACGCCATGATTTAGACAGATGATGAGAAACGGTTTCTCGTAGCTTTGGTCAGAAGAGTGCAGGTAAAGGGATGAACTAGATGTGAATGAGCTACATTGAAATGATGGCAGATTATGTGTAAAGTGAAATACACATGCTTATTCTCTCTCTCTGTTTACAGACTGCTGAAAAAGTTCCTGCAACAAATATTCATTGATGTGCAATTGTTTACACGTTCACTTTTTGAGACTGTAATCGACTTTATTAACATAATCCATTTAGGAAAAGGTTTTATAGCCCACATACATACCAGCTTTCAATATCAGCCTGTTCTAAGTGGAGTTTATACAGTAATGGGGTCTACTATCCAAATCATTCTCTAAATCTAAATATCGGCTCTTTTTCACTTTAATATCGGCATCAGCCCCCAAAAACCCATATCGGTCATTTTCATTAATTATAATGTTGTAAAATAAACTGAACAAACTTCAGTTCAGGCAACGTGGAAAATGAGTTGGCTGGAAAACTACTGCAGCGCAGAACATGCAGCGCTGTAGCTCCCACTGAGGTCTGAAACAGTAACTTTTACTTTTGTTTTCCTTCTTAATGAAAGTGCTTTTTCAAAGTGTCCCTGTGGACATCAAGTCTTTGGACAGGTGTAAGCAGGGTTAGTTAAATTTAAGACATTTTAAGACCTTTTTCATACCACCTCATAGGGCTGCACGATTTGGAGAAAAAGTCATATTGCGATTATTTGTGAATCGATTATAATGGAACACATGGTGCTATGAGTCTGCTCGCTTACTTATCAAGGAAATACTGATATTTTGAAATGTGTATTTCTCAACTTGAACAAAGTTAAACAATATTTCTAACAATAACAAGGAAAACAGGTGTAAAACAGAACAAGGGGAGCGTGTTGCTCTACAGGAGGCAGCTAGAAGCAGTCGGCACCTCAAGACTTTTTTTAATGTCCAGGCTGTGATTGGTCGGTTGAGGAAAAGTGACTGACAAGCATGTCGGCATGTTGAACAACTTAAGGCACGGATACAGCCAACGTAAATGGCCCGCGAGCCAAATCCAAACCTTCCTTATCTTCTCCCAGTTCTCTTCTGTTTTTAGGGCCACATGACGACGTCCTGCGAGTCCCGATTGGTGAGGAAGGGACAGGCGATTATTAGAGATGCATCACATCCCCTTTGGCGAGTATGAGCTGTTACCATCAGGCAGACGGTACATGGTGCCATCGCTCCGAACCAACCGGGCCCGCAGGTCATTTGTACCTACTAGTATCGGATTTCTTAACAAACACTGAGATAATAAAACAGAGCTGAATCTTGGAGCTGCACCTCAGTGTAGCTTGTATGTTTGTGTTGGCAAAGCAGTTTTCTGGTTGTTGGTCTGTTGATGTTGTTTATTTGCTGTATGACACAAAGTGAATTTCTGCAAGGACTAAATAAATATCTATCTAAAGCTTTTGGGGTGTGTTTGTACTCTGATTACATTAAGTGAATCAAGTGGTGGGGACACAGGGGTTCAGATGAGGGGTGTGTCGATACACTTAGCTCACCTGCACGATTCACAATATTGAGTTCACCAGAACTAGACAAGAAAAGATTTTTACACCATTTTCCTTCAGAGGTTCTTCATCCTGTTCTGTTTTTGCATCTAAAGGCTGCTTGAAATAAAGTATTATATAGTACTGGCTTGAAAGCAGCGGGACAAGGAGTTGGGCCCCGGTTTGTTTTTTCCTCGTCCCGGTGATCGGCACATCTGGGTGATGTAGGTTTAATGTGCGTGAGCATGTTGGAGGTTTCCATTCACATAACGTTGCCCTACAACAGCACACAGACACTGTCCTCGTCTCAAACACACCTGTCTCTCCGTTGCTGTTGTAACATTCACTGACCGGGAACCTGCAGCGGGTCTTCCGCTCCGCTGTTTCATTAGCGCTCGCCACAGTGTGACTCACTCGCACGCCGAGCCGCCTGTTGTGCCAACATCAGCACCGCTGCACTCAGCCTCGTCCCCCAACATGTCCGGATCTCTGGCCTTCAGACACTTGCTCATTCGACCAGCTGAGCCACCAGCTAACATTAAACTTTTGTTTCCTTTCCTAACAAATGACTTGGATGGCAGAGCTCGTGCACAGCGAACACTCCAGATTAAAGCTAAGAACTGCGCTAAGAAAGTAAGACTGACGTAAACAATAACGTTATCTGTACTGCAGTATAACATCCAAGTCACACCAAACGGAGTAAATTCTAAAGTTACATACAGACAAAAAAAGTATTTATTTAAGATGTTACTGCATTTATTTAACTATGAAAGGACAAGAAAAAAATTAAGACCTTTGTAAATGAAATTTAATACTTCTAAGGCTTTATTTTAGAAAATTTACTTTTAAGGCCGGCAGCAGCTCAGAGTCTGGGAGCGCTCGGTTTCCATAGCAACCAGCACGCCAGAGTCCACTAACGATCCTCCTGTCAGCGCCACAGTTAGACTACTCTCCAAAGACCAGACTGTTTGAGTGAACAGGTGGATCACACTGAGTTTATTCCTGTTTTACTGACTGATCGCTGCCACTCAGTCAGCTGTGGTTACAGCAGGTTGTTCGTTCTTGATACTCAAATAATAAACCAATGACAAGCTCATGTGAAATTTAACCCTCTGCTTCTTGTTAATAAGATGTTGCTGCTCGTCAGGACGAATCTGTTCTTCCAAATGTTGCTCATATTAGAAAGTAACTTGATGTTGACTTACTCTCTTCCTTTGAAAATAGTGGTGGGTCCAATGGACCAGTTGCTTTTGAGGGACACACAGCTGGGTTCAGGTCCTGGTTCAGATTCATCCGCTCCAGGAATGTTCCTGTTAGACAGAGAGGAAGTTCAGTTTTTAGTCTTCGGCCACAGAAGCTGCTGGAGAAACTAGCAGCTATCAACAACAAAATGATCAACTTAATGACAAAAACTGTAAAACCCATTTCTTTCAACCTGAGGATCTGCCGTCATGTTGATTTCAAACTCTGACTGAAGCTGAAGAGTTTGTTCAGAGATGTTTCATGAATTCTAATGTTGTGAAATACACAGAATGAACTTCAGCCAAAGTGGAAAGTGAGGCAGGAGCTGGCTGTAAAACTCACTGGACACATTCAGAACATGCACCGCTGTAGCCTGGACCTGGGGAACTTGTGCTTTTGTGGTCCTTAATGAAAGTGATCTTTGTGTCTAAGTGACATCACAAAGTGCCTCTGTGGACATCTAGTCTTTGGACAGCTGCAGTGAAACAAGCGCTGCACAAACAGACGAGACTCGTATCTGCTGCAGTGTCCACTGGTAGCTCATGTTACTTCACTGTTAAACCAGCGTTCACTGAAAACGTTTCATTTAGTTTAGCTGCAGACGGGAGCAGCTCAGAGTCTGGGAGCGCTCGGTTTCCATAGCAACCAGCACGCCAGAGTCCACTGACTGATCTTGGGCTGCAGCTAACGATGATTTTAGTAATCGAGTATTCTACAGATTATTTTATTGATTAATCTAACAAGAAGAACTTTTGCTTGCCGCCCCCCTTCGTTACCGGGATCAGCTGTGTTAGTCATGACTGTGACGTTACAACACAAACTCACGGCCCAACCAGGCGGAGAACATTAAACGCACATGTGTACATATACAGCTGAAGACTGCGGCTTACTTTAGAGACCCTTCAACTCAACAATCAGTCATGATTTCAGTTCAATGCTAAAGTTACTGTTACCTTGTTTGGGGTCCGCTGCGTGGACTTGATGCCAGACCGGGTGCTTTCTGATCAGATGCTGAAGAATTTCAGTCATGCTGTTACAGTACGTTAGTTTCATTTTACGGTGGACAGACTGTAACATTACAGAGTTATTTTCTTTTAGCTTGAAATTATTTCTTATTTTAGACACTCTGTGTTTTTATCTGGCCAGTCTCTTCTTTGTCTCGCGCCATTTTCTCTCTTGCTCCACTTTGCAAAGAGCGCCATCAAATCACGTCACCTTAACTTGATCACAGCATATGTGCGATGCCCCACAGTAATAAATGTCCCTGTGAAACAGTGTGCTATATAGTTATGTGGATTAAATGAAGCATCGATGCAAAGAATGTGTTGATGCTTTTAAGTAGTCGAATTATTAGAATTTTGATAATAAATCGTTTCAGCCCTAGACCGATCCTCCTGTCAACGCCAAGGTTACTCTACTCTCTAAAGATCAGACTGCGTTTCATTGTAGAATTATTTCCTTTCTGACAGTGTTAATAAGATGTTACTGCTCGTCGGGACGAATCTGTTCTTTCAGATGTTCTGTAATGTTGCTCATATTAGCAAGTAACTTGATGTTGACTTACTCTCTTCCTTTGAAACATAGTGGTGGCTCCATGGACACGTCACTTTTGAGGGACACACAGCTGGGTTCAGGTCCTGGTTTTGATTCATCCGATCCAAGAATGTTCCTGTTAGACAGAGAGGAAGTTCAGTTTTTAGTCTTCAGCCACAGAAGCTGCTGGAGAAACTAGCAGCTATCAACAACAAAATGATCAACAGAGCAAAGTTCAATAAAGTCTGAAGCTCTTCACACAGAATGTCGTCAGCTCTCTGCTCATCCTGTTCATTCATTCTTTGTCTTTGTGGGAGAATAAAAACACTGTAAGGCCTCCAGGACTAATGTAATCTGACATGTTCCTCTATGTGGAGCCAAGACTCCATAATGAGAATCTCTCTCACTGTTAATCCTCATCGTACCCCATGTTTGATGATGAATCACTTCCCCACAGATCTCTGTCTTTGTCAACACATTTTCTATATAAGACAAGTTATTTGACTGTTTGCTGTAAGAAGCTGCATTATGCCAACAAAGTGCATTAATGATGAAACCCTGCTGCCATGCTGACTTCAAACTGTGCTGACTGAAAATCCTCTCTCACCTCTCATGTTCGATCTCTCTCTGAGGGTCTCCCTCCTCTTTGTCCTCACACTGACTCATGCTGCTGAACTCACATCCACATCAGCTCACACACTTTCACCTGGAGAGGAAACACAAATCAAACAAATCAATAATTTATCCAAAATAAATATTAAAAACTTTACTTATTAATAATCCAATATATTATTCAATCCTCCTGAGAAAGACACACATAAAGCTCATTAGAACAATGACTTTATCTCTTAAAATCAGTGTGATTTCCACGTCACTGCTGTGTTATGATGTTGATAACACCAGACTCTATTTATCGATGCCTGATCAGAAATATAGGGGAGACCGGGTATGTTCTCAAACTTTTATACCAAGTACCCACATTTATTTACTACAAATGGCACAGTTCACTCTCTAATGTTCTGTAGGGAGGGTGACGGGGCGTTTAAAATGTTTTGTGTTACAACCTTTTTATATACAGTCTATGGTTCCAGATGACATTCTGCAGTTCACTATTGCAGCACCAGGTGGCGCCACGTGCTTTCTAAGCACCAGTAGAGGAAGATTTCAGCCACATGTGACTCAACAAGGAGTGAACTGTGTCTCCAACTTGCAGTAAAGTTTCATCTCACTGGACAAGTGTTGTGTCGCTGGTTTGAAGCAGCCTGTTATTATTGATCTGATGTTTTTACCTACCTTTCATATATTTTTCTAGTATTTTTTCTGTTTTTAATATACATAACTTCTGGTTTGACTGTAAAGTGTCTTCAAGTGTCCTGAAAAGCGCTATAGAAATAAAATGTATTATTAATTCTTCTGATCACAGATTCATCCTTTTTCTATTTTCAATTCAATTCAATTTTATTTATATGGCGCCAAATCACAACAACAGTTATCTCACAGCGCTTTTCATAAAAGAGCAGGTCTAGACCGTACTCTGTGATGTTATTTACAGAAGCCCAACAGTTCCCACCAAGAGCAGCACTAGGAGACAGAGGCAAGGAAAAACTTCCTTTAAGAGGCAGAAACCTCGAGCAGAACCATGGCTCAGGGTGGGCGGCCATCTGCCTCGACCGGTTGGGGTGAGAGAGAGAGAGAGAGAGAGAGAGAGAGAGAGAGAGAAAGAGAGAGGGAGGCAGCCTACACAATATACACACAGAGGTACAGACAGTAAAGGTGATGTTGCTATAGACTGAATGAAAAATGGTACAGATATTTATAGTAGTGTTAATGATAACAATTGTATTGTTAATGATTATAATAACAATAAGACTAGCAACAATAGTCGTTGCAGCAGAGGGTGTCGAGCAGGAACACGGGGGCAGCAGGTGACCCGCAACCACAGATCCAGACTCCACAGCTCCAGAGCCAGAAACACCTGCAGGAGTGATAGGAGGAGAGAGGAGAGGGACGAGAAAGCACAAGACTACCAGAAAGGGGAGAAGTTGTGTTAGTAACATGCAATAATGGGATGAGGTTGCATACAGAGGGAGAGAAAGTAGAGGAGAGAGGAGCTCAGTGCATCATGGGAAATCCCCCGGCAGTCTAGGCCTATAGCAGCATAACTAAGGGATGGTTCAGGACTACCTGAGCCAGCCCTAACTATAAGCTTTATCAAAGAGGAAAGTCTTAAGCCTACTCTTAAATGTGGAGATGGTGTCTGCCTCCTGAACCCAAACTGGAACCTGGTTCCACAGGAGAGGAGCTTGATAGCTGAACGCTCTGGCTCCTAGTCTACTTTTGGAGACTCTAGGAACCACAAGTAACCCTGCATTCTGGGAGCGCAGTGCTCTGGTGGGGTAGTAAGGTACTATGAGCTCTTTAAGATAAGATGGTGCCTGATCATTAAGAGCTTTGTTGGTAAGAAGAATGATTTTAAATTCTATTCTGGATTTTACTGGAAGCCAATGCAAAGAAGCTAAAACAGGAGAAATATCTATTTTCCTTTTCTTGTCAGAACACGTGCTGCAGCATTCTGGATCAGCTGAAGAGTCTTAATGGACTTTTTCGAGCAGCCTGATAATAAGGAATTGCAGTAATCCAGCCTAGAAATAACAAATGCATGGACTAGTTTTTCTGCATCATTTTTAGACAGGATGTTCCTGATTTTCACAATATTACGTAGGTGAAAAAAGGCGGTCCTTGAAATTTGCTTAATGTGAGACTTAAATGACATGTCCTGATCAAAGATAACTCCAAGATTCCTCACAGGGCGATGCCATCAAGGGAAACTATATCTTTAGATAATGCATCACGGAGGTGCTTCGGCCCCAGAACAATAACTTCACTTAGGTCTATAGTTGGCTAAAACATCCGGATCAAGTTTGGGGGGTTAGCTACAGCACTATCAGACAGACATCTTGTATAGAAATTTTTGCCCAATGGCGTGTAGTTCAGCAATACAAACTCAAAAGTTATCAAACAGTGGTCGGACAAAGAGGGATTCTGTGGGAACACTATTAAATGTTAATTTCAATACCATATACCAGAACAAGGTCGAGGGTGTGGTTAAAACAGTGAGTCGGTTCATGAACACTCTGAGAGAAGCCAATGGAATCTAACAAAGAGATAAACGCAGTACTGAAGCTGTCATTCTCAACGTCCACATGAATATTAAAATCCCCTACAATAATAACTTTGTCCGTTTTAAGGACTAAAGTTGACAAAAACTCTGCAAATTCAGATAAGAATTCAGAATACGGACCAGGTGCTCGGTACACTATAACGAAGAGAATTGGTTGCAGTGATTTCCAACTTGGGTGCGAAAGACTAAGAACAAGACTTTCAAATGAGTTATAGTTTAGTTTAGGTTTAGAGCTGATTAGTAGGCTAGAGTCGAAGATAGCTGCAACTCCACCTCCTCGGCCTGTGCCTCGAGGAATGTGAGTATTAATATGACTGGGAGGGGTGGATTCATTTAGGCTAACATATTCTCCATCACCCAGCCAGGTTTCAGTAAGACCAAATAAATCAATATCATAATCTGATATTAGTTCATTTACTAGTACACCTTTAGAAGAGAGAGATCTGATGTTTAAGAGTCCACATTTAATTTTACTATTAGTTTGCACTATTGCTCTTGTGGTTTTAATTTTTTATGAGGTTTTAATGCACAGCTCCTCTTCTGTTTACCTTTTTAAATAATTTCGATGGTCGGGGGGCAGACACCGTCACTATAGGATTTTCACTAAGTAACTCCTGAAATGGAGGAGCAGAGAAGTGTGTTAGACTGCGACTCTGCGTAGGGTTTCGGGTGGGTAACTGCTGAAAAAGAAGGGCAGAGAAGTGTGTTAAACTGCGACTCTGCCTCCTGGTCTCAACTCTGGGTTGTCATGGATTTGGTCCACTAATAAACTTGGCCAGATTTCTAGAAATGAGAGCTGCTCCTTCCCAAGTGGGACGGATGCCGTCTCTCCAGATCAGACCAGGTCTTCCCCAGAAAGTCTGCCAACGATCAACAAAGCCCACATCGTTTGCTGGACACCACCTCGACAACCAGCGGCGGAATGACGACATGCGGCTATACATGTCATCACTGGTCAGATTTGGCAGGGGTCCAGAGAAAACTACGGTGTCCGACATTGTTTTTGCATATGTACACACCGACTCAACATTAATCTTAGTGACCTCCGATTGGCGTAACCGGGAGTCATTACCGCCGACGTGAATAACAATCTGTTTTGTCAGTAAAACAAAGACAGTTTTCATCTGAATGAATTCCAGTGAATCACAAAGCTGCTTTAAGTGTAACAGTCAGATCACAGCAGCTCAGTGAAGAGGATTCATAGAGAAATGTATCTACAAATGATTCAACATATCACAATAATACAGTTTCCAATAATACATTCACATTTATTGACTTTAAATAGAGACGTTTCTTGAAATCAACACCTGCCTTTAAACACAAAGAATAACTGTTCCCCCTTTAATTAGAACCAAATAAAACTTTGTTCTCCAGGAAACTTCAGAGAAATTATTAAAAAGCCAACGAGATTCTGAAACCTGGTAATTTCCTTGTTAAAAACTGGTTTAAAGCATGTTGAACGCATCATGATGACATCAGGTAAGCGGTACTTGATTTGTTGGTGAAGACATGTACCCGCCCTACTCTGCCTCTGATTGGTTTGATACCCTGATTCCCCAACAATCTCACTCCTCCTGCCTAAACCTATCAAAACAATGGGAAAACCGAGTGTAAACCAATCAGAGGCGGGATAGGCACATGCCGTCACCACACTAAAAAAAGTTTCTTACTGTAGAGACATGCAGTCTCTTTATAAACACATGAACAGTGATGTGCAGCAGGTCTGTGGACCAGAAGTGGTCAAAAACATCCAATCAGTGAACCAGTACATCAAGTACTCACAACTGTTAATACTACACTGAGCAAATACTCTGTTCAAAGAAAAGGTCCTGCAAGTTTTACTTTAGTTAAACAAGTATTAAGATAATGACATGTAACAGTAAATGTTTCTAATTTAAATTACTTTATAGACTATTGGATAGGTTAATCTATAATATTCCTTCATATTTTACTTGTTGACCAAATATTTTTTGTGTAAAATCTGAATCTGCAAAGTACCTGATTACTTTTTTCACTGGAGTCATTAACTTTTGTTTTTCTTTCTCTGCTCACTGAACCAGCCAATAAAAAGTGAAGTACTTGTACTTTACTTGAATATGTTCATTTTATGTTTCTTTATATCCATGTGCAGATTAAAATGTTAGATACATTTTACAAACTGATAACACATGATGCTCGGTGACATAAGCAGCACATAAAGGTCATGGAAATATAAAAATGAGTTTATTAATAGCAGATTGTTTTGTCAAAATCTTAATCTAAAAAGAAACAAAATGTAGATTAGTCAAGTCTCTCCCTCTGAGATGTACTGCAGTAGAAAGGAGCAGAAATACTCCAGGAAATTACTTAGTAGGCTGGAACTGCTACTTTACTTACTTTCCACTTCTGCAAGTTACACAAACAGATCGAGATAGAAAATTATTAAAGATGCGTTGAAAGGAAATCTCTTCAGATCAGATTTAAATTGTGCTAAAATCTTCTTTAATTAAACAAAAATAAAACTGAAGTGATTGTTTTTGAAGCAAAGAAAGAACAATTAAATGTCAGTAAAGTGGATCATATAACTCTTTCTGCTCGAAGAAGTGACTTAAAAAAACAAATGCATTTCTGATCTTCTGCTACGTTATGAACAATCTAAACCTCTCATGTTGTCTGGGATCAGGTCTGCTTTATGTTCCCAGAGTCAAAAACATGGAGAAGCAGTGTTCAGTTTTTCTGCAACATTTATCTGGAACAAACCAAGAAAAGTGCAGGTCTGCTGATTGGATCAAACTAAAGCTAACGATAAATTCAAATAAAAGCTAGAACAAATATCTCTGCACTACATGTAAGCAAACAGACACACAAAGGCATCAAAGTTTACCTTTCTAAAGTTTTAAATATTTTGCTTTTAGGCCTAAATTCTTGTTTCTGCAAATTAAACTTGACTCTAGTTGAAGCCTTCTTTTTTTCAGCATTGTCTTACACCTCGAGAATGATGACTGCTTTAATTAATATGAAGAAAATAATGTTATTTTAAACACGATACTCAAAGCAAATCTCCTTAAAGCACAGTGAAGTAATTTTAGGATACAGTGTGTTGACAAAAAGGGTGTTGAAATGTGTTGAGATGTATCACATGACTAAATACTTGAGTGGAATCAGGGTTAGCCTTCGTTAGCAGCTACCATCTGTTAGCCCCAATAAAATAAAAAACTCAGGATAAATTACAGTTAAATCATGAATCAGTGATACTGTAATTAACAGCTGACCTCTTTGCAGCAGAGGGTTGTTATCCTTTAAAATGAACGAGGCGTTCCTTTGACCGGTCTCTCTTGGACACACAGCTGAATCCAGGTTCAGGTTCAGCAGAGACTGGTCTGTTATATAGTTTTTAGTCTTCAGACTCAGAAGCTGCTGGAGAAACTAGCAGCTATCAACAAGAAAAGGATCAAAGTTCAATAAAAAGCGGAATGATTTCAGTCTGAGTATCATCAGCTTATTTACCCTTAGATTTTGGACCAAACCAGACCAGGACTAAATGTACTGATTTCTGCAGATTTTACTGTTATTGACAGATAACAAACTTAAGTTTTGGCTCATCAGCAGCAGCTCTGTTGGCCTGTAACGTTTGCACTAGACTCACCACAAATATCTGACGGTTACTTACAGACTTTGGTAAGTGAAGTATTTTTGGACAACATCCAAAGAGGAAGTTTCAGACTAAAAAGACTTGAACTTGATTTGTGGAACTCAGACTGCTGAAGCCTCATTTTATCCTCAGCTGTCCTTTAATCCTAATCTGGCTCTGACCTTCATCATCATTCTAGGAGAACATGGACATTAGAAGGACAACTGGTCAGACTGGATTTAATGAGGACAAACATCAGCAGGGAGCAACATGAGGACGGAGACATGAACACTTTGCTCTGATTGGCCAACACTGTTTAATACTGACTGATACTCACGTCTGTCAGATCCACGTCGTCCGTTTAGACTCAATTAAAGCATTCTTTGACCGGCCTCTCTTGATGGACACACAGCAGGTCCAGGTTCAGGCTCAGTCCTTCCACAAGTCATAACTCAAGGAGTCCAACCAGAACACACAATTATTAGATTCAGTGTGACTGACACTTCCCGAGGACATCATTATCTCTGTCCAAGCTTAGAAATCATAGAAAACGTCTAACTGCAGAACCTGCCTGAGAATCATTATATTTTAACTCTAACTCACTGAATCCATGACAACATTATTGCTGTACTTCCTGTTTACATCCCGCAAAGCATTATGGGATCTTAGATCATGATTATCCCCCAAAAAGTAAATCAAGTTGTCAGTTATCAAAGAACCATTAACATGAACTTTTTTCATGAATATATTTTTGACATTAAGACTCAGAACCTGGTCCTGAGACACTGACTCTCCTCTGTCCAAGTCATCTACACAGATTTGTGTTGAGAACCTGTGGCCATAAATTAGACAGCAAGAAACCAACCATAGAGGGACTAAAGACAAACTTGTTCTTAAATTAGCAATTGACATGTTTCTTCAAAGCGTCCAAACTGTTGATGAAGAAGACTCTCACTCAACACCTGCAGAGAAAATGATTGACGCAGGTGAGCTGTTTTTCTGGAATGAGTTGAAGCTGCACCTGAACTGGCAGCAGGCCAGAAGGGAGGGAAGGGGATCAGGTTCTTGTGTTGTTTAATTGCAGTTAACAAACAGGTTTTAGGTGCATGTGGAGCAGAACGGTTACTGTATTACTGCATTAAATTCTCCTAACACTGCATGTGCTTTCTAAAAGTCTGAAAATAGCCCTGTACCCTCATCACCTGAACTCATTTGGGGGTAAAATAAAGTTCCTAGGACTTGATTTAGACCCTGGTCCCTGCGGTGGAAATGCTGGGAGTTACTCGAAAGGTTTCCACTTCCTGGGTAAAGTCCCTGGCATCGAAACGCCAGGTCTGAGCCAAAAGTCTGAGCCAATAATTCTGCTTTGTACCTATCTATAATCACATTTCGATCACCGTTCATTATCAGATATCCAGAGTGTTTCCCATCGCCACACATTCTGTGGATCATTCCCCACATTCTCTCTAACGGCGTATTTCTACCTAATGAATCACAATATGTCCTCCAAAACTCTCTTTTAGGCCTCTTTCTTATATTCCTCACTGCCTGCTTTCTCTTAGAATTCATCATATTTTGAAGACATAGTGATAAAAACAAAACATTAAACGCTTCATTTCGACTTGTATAGCTTTAGTGCTTTGTGTGTCCACCATGGAACTAACTTTTCCTTTTATCGCCACTTCTTTTCAGGATCAACTCTTTTGCTGCTCCTAATCTAATTCTACTGATTTACAGGGTTTGAGTTACAAACTGAGCTTTATGGGGGTCTCTAATATAACTATTGTTACTGTTGGAGATAAATAAATAATAAACCTAGTGAGAGACAGAGACAAAGACTTAATTGTTCATTACATGGTCCAACACTTTTTCTCTCTCTCTCTCTGGTCCGACATTCAGCAGGTCTGGTAACATCCTCTGCAGCAACAAAGCTTGTGCTGGCTGTAACACTAGCAGGTGAATGTGTGTCCGAGTGTGTTGTGGTGGTAACACAGGCAGCTACATCAGGTCCAGCAGCAGGGCTAGCATCCTCCATAGCAGCTGAGATTGGCTTGTAGATCCCGCTGGAAATGGCAGCATAGTAACTCACCTAGTCTAAAAGTACAGCTTTCTAATCAACACAAGATAATGTTGGCGATTAGTGGCTTCTTCCATCCTGCATTACAGTTAGACCAACACTGTACTGCACCTGTAGAGGCTGCCTGGTGGAGAAATGCAGCCATCCTGTCATCATGACGTCATGTGGGGTCATAATGACGTCACGTGGTGGCAGTTTGTTTGGAAAACATGTTTTAGCCTGTTATCTTGTTAATGTCAATTAAACCAATTTCAATAAAAACTACATTATTTGTGATTCAGAATAACAGTTGTTGGTAAATGAGGTAGTGAGCGCCACAGATGCTGATTTTAGACCATCCTACTGGCTCCCAGGTAACTCGAGCCCTGTATATTGCGGCTGAATGTCGATAAAGGAAAAACAGCCGCAGTAGGCTAAACACAGGAGAAAAACTGATGACGTGCACACAGTGATAGTTCAGCACATTTCCGTCACACCGTTTAACCCATTTACTTTCACAGCACAAGGGTTCCACTTAGCAGCCGTTTCCATACATCCATGCAGAGAAAACACAACGGCACCAGACAACACAAATGCTCCACTGTAGATAAACAATGAGGTCAACAGAGAATTTCACTCCCGAGATCACCCAAACTCCCTGATCCCTCAAGACAAGTGAGGTGAACAGGTGAAGAGCAAATGGATAGGCAACAAACTCTGTGGCTCCTACCCTGAATATTTCACTACTTTCACTTTCCCCTCACTTAATCTGTTAAACTTGATCCAGTCTGCTTTTTAAAATCCTAAAGTGGTTTGTTTTGTGACGGCTGGAGAAAGGACATAAACATCAGATTGTTTGATTCCAGTAAATCAATAATCCAACAACATGTAAATTTCTCTTCAAACACATGAGTTCTCCAAACTTTCTAATGAAATAAGAAGTGAACAAATACTACAAACATTAGACAGCAAGAAACAAACCTTAAGGAGACTAAAGACAAACTTGTTGTTAAATTATCAAACAAAGCAACTTACAGTTTCCTCAAAGCGTCCAAAGTGTTGATGACGGCAGCAGAGAAAAAGCTTCAACACAGGTGAGCTGTTTCCTGGAATCACTCAGAGCTGCACCTGTAATGGCGGCAGGCAGGAGGGGCTGGAACAGGATCAGGTTACTTTCTTGTTTGGTTGAAGTTAACAAACAGGTTTTAGGTGCACGAGCATCAGAACTCTTTGTACAGTATATTATTGCATTAAGTTCTCCTACAAAATCCTGTGATTTTGAAAACCTGAAAATAGGCATTTCTTTTTCATTTCTGATTTGATTATACTTTTAAACATTTATTTCTCTTTTTCTTGTTGCTCCTTTTGCTTATTTACCTGCCTGCTGATCTCCATCCACACTGAAATGTGCAGGAATCTATTGCTGCCCTCTTCATTCAGAAAATGATATTGTTTATGTGATGTTATGAGGAGAACCTTCAGTAAAAGGTTCCTTCAGCCCACTGTTGGGTGTGTTTCCACTGTCTAAAGACCTGTGGAGTTTAGTCCACTAACATGTGTACAATATATTGATTCAATCTCGTTATTGCAAAATATGACTTTGCGCAATATATTATCGAAAATGTTGCAGAAAGTATGTAATATTCAGCTTATTTAGTGGAGAGATGCGTCTGTGGCTTAGTTGTGTTAAATTAAGAGCTTTAAGTCAAACGGCTTTATAATGATCATGTAGCATTGACCAGTTGCGCATTTAAAACCTGCACGTAGCGACAGTAACGTAACTCATACATGTCAGCAACAGTTAGCCTAATATAGCTTGCTAATGTTGTCATATCTTACCTGTTGTACTGTCTGCTGCTTTCTCGTCAGATGGATCAAACCCTCCCTGCAGCTTTTGGGTCACGCCTCCTCATTTGCATACACAACTCAATCCTAAATCCCAAAATCCCCAAATCCTAAATGGCTAAATGACTAAATGCCCTATCCTAAATACCAAATTAATTAAGCATAACTGTGAAGCTGTTCCTTTTCACTACTCTAGTGAACTCTTGTGAGTAAAAGAGTTGACCTTTGACTAGAAGTGAATATTTTCACAACTGTATCCACAGTGACAGAAAGTTGCTCTCTCACAGCCAGGATCTTTTCACTAGTAAGTTTTCGTGAATAATGTAGACCAAGGGTAACAACCTGATCAGCTACTCTTTCAAACTGCTTTAGTCTTTTTTGACCAGTAAAGTGCACTGGATGCATTCAGGCACAGCATTTATCAGTGCATCATTTCTCAAAAGAGGCAGTACTGAATACTTTCATTATTTGTAGAGGAACACACTCAGTGCCATGAAACATTTTTAGAATTTCCCCGTTAAATGACTCAAAAAATATATCCAGAATGTGCCCACAATGGTCCCCAGTTCTTAACAGATTCAGGCAAATGAAGACATAAATGTACATTAAATGACACATGCTGCTTTCTATAGAGTGTTTAAAATTTTTTTGACAAAGTCTACAACCAGTTTTTCCACATCTTTTTAACTCCTCTGTTGAAATAATGTCCTTGCATAGTAAGAACATGAATGTGACAAGGAGTAACCAGTGTTGGTAAAATACCTGGGGCAGAATTCCTTTAAGCACAAAGATATTATAAAACAGTAACCAGTTCTGCCATTCACTAGCCTTCCAAAACCTCCTTTGCTGAAGAGATCGGGGCACTCTCGTCACATTGCAAGGGCGCTTAATCAGTAAGAGTTGTTGATCAAGTTCAGTCATTCTATTCTCTATATAATATGGTTTCTGATGGTTTTCACTGTCCAGCGACATGTTTGCCATTTGCAGAACCACACCAAGATGTACATTATGCATTTTCTTTGCGCACAAGGTAAGGAAGCTCATTTACAATCCCTTGTAATGGCCAGATACAATATAGTGATGATTTAAATACAGGCACTCCATCACAGTTGAGTGTTAAGGAGTATCCATGCGGACAATCTAGTGGGCCTCCATTTTTGTTCAGTTTATGATACATTTTACCACTACATATATCATCATAAGTTTCAGGATTACATGTGCCGTTTCCTGATTTAAGACTTTGGTAAGTAAATGAAGAAGTTTCCATTCTTCAGTGAGCTGTTTTTATCCCACGTCGTGTTGCACACTGTACACTGCCCTTCACTATCTTTGTCACCAATGTCACACTCACAGTTTGGACAGTAAATGTGACATTGAAGGTGACTTTGTATTGGCTCTTTTAAGAAGAGATGCTTGGAAGTCGACAGTGTTTTCTGGACAGTGAATACTAATCAAATTTAGAAGATCAGAAAGGGCCACGCCAGTAAGTGCATGTCTCCAAACAAATGATAGTGTAAGTACAAAACTCTGAGCTGTGGTTAGTTGTGAACCAGTGTAAAGTACCCGAGGTAAGTTTTCATTACGGACATCTCTCAAACGTGATTCCTCATTTACTGACTCATCAGCTGTTCTCCACTGCCAAGAATTGATTCAGAGTCAGTAAAAGACAGCAGTGGTTCAAACACACAGTTACCAACACAATCATCCAAGTTGCACAAAAGAAATAAACAAAATAATGCACAAGGCATGTAGATGTTTTCTATTTGATATAATGCTGCAGCCATTGAATAACGGCATCTTGTCCTTGAATCTTACACTTTAAAACTGTTTGATTAAAGTTAAGGTAACGTCAAAATCTGATCTGGTGTTAGTGCCAAGTTAAAAGTACATTATTCTTACGGTAATGTCGCCACCGTGTGCATGTTCAGAACCATAGTCGGAAGAATTATGGGTCAGGTTTTGCTGTGTAAGAATAAAAAGTCTTGATTAACTTGGCGGTTTTAAATAGCTTCACCAGCAGGGCCAGAGACGACCCCCACAACAAAATATATCATAATATACCATGCCCTGCACAAGCATTTGGATACCAACATAAATGAACTGTTTTCTTGGTCTCTGTCAGTGCAAATCCAGATTATAGCCAGATTTTTTCTACAGCTGATAGCATTACTTTTTTTTATACATTTAGCTGACACTTTTATCCAAACAGCTGCTATATATGTCTGAGGTCGCACGCCTCTGGAGCAACTAGGGGTTAAGTGCCTTGCTCAGGGACAAATCAGTGGATGGACAGTGGGGGACTGAACCTGGGTCTTTCACACAAAAGGCATGTGTCTTATCTAATAAATAATCTTTCCACCCATACCAAATCCATCGGGTTTATGTTTACGTCTCTCCTACCCCTAGAGAGCGGGGACGTAACACTCTCCTATAAAAGTATGTTTTAAGAAGGGACTTAAAAGAGTTCACTGACTCAGCTGACCTGATTTCCTCGGGCAGGCTGTTCCAGAGCCTCGGGGCCCTGACAGCAAACGCTCTGTCCCCTTTAGTTTTCAGTCTTTAAAAGTAATCAATAAAATTTTAAAGTCAATTCTAAAACACACTGGGAGCCAGTGTAATGAAGCTAAAATAGGAGTAATGTGGTCACATTTTTTTGTTCTGGTTAAAAGCCTGGCAGCTGAGTTCTGGAGTAAATATGTAGTAATACAATATATCTTATTGTATATTTTCATTTTTCAATATATCACTTAGTGTAATACTGACAGTAATAGTATTGACAGTTCATATATAATTAAATATATTTTCTTTGCGTACATGCGGGTAAACTGACTCTACTTCTGCTCGTATTTCACCGCTTAACTCCCAAATATCCACAACATGGCGGATTTTTGCAACTTAATGGCGGCTGTTTCGCCTCCTTCGTCCCAAGTTTGTAAAAATAAGCATCGAGCGGCAGATTTCTGCTGTAACTAAACGAACGACAGCGTGTGTTAACGTGGAAAACATTTTAAACATTTTAAAGATTACCTTCAGATGCGGGTTCAGACGGAGAAAACTGCGGGCCACAAACTCACAGAAGTCAAACTAAACTTTGAGGAAACACTCACCTGTGTGAGAGACATGTTTTTTTTTTGTTTGTTTGTTTTTTTTACAGAGGGTCACATCCGGCCTCGAAGCAACCCCCCTGTGGCCCGACACATAATCTAAAATAGATGACAACAAAAGTAAACTACATGTATAGTGTCTGGAAGCAGCAAGAGTGAGCTCTATCGTTTCCTTCTTATCTTTGTTGAGTTTCACATGCACTGAACCAACCACTAATCAACATAACTGTCGCACCTGCAGCCTCTGTGTCTCTGCAGAGCCTTGCAAGCTGTCTGTCTTTAGTAAGTGTTCAGCTTAGTTTGCCATGTACATTCAAATATGGCACACATAGGCTAAACTGAGCTGCTGGAGACAGAGCAGCCCTCCTCTCTACCAGCAGCTGCAGAGGGAGGAGGGGGAGGACAGGAGGAAGCAGTGAGTTGTTGATTATTTCTAAACTTCACTCAGTAAGTTGTTGTCTGGAATATGAGTTATATTACTGACATTTTAGATTTGTTTCCAGTGAGATATTAGTGACCTTGCTGTTGTAAATCCTGTTGCTGCTCTAAAAACAATTAACTGCTAAAAATTATTAAATCATTTTTTCAAAGGCAGTTATTTAGTAATAAATAGGTCTGATAAGCACATCGATAAAGAACTGGACCAATAAGGAGTACCAATACAGGTGTGGCATTAAAATCCTAATGATACCCATCCCAACTCGTGAGAAAACGTCCGGCCCATCTCCCCGTCTTAAAATCCGGCCCAATTGAAATTGTAATTGAATAGCCCCGCTGTAATACTTTGTACCGAGAGTACTTTAACTGAGAGTCGGTAACTGTGGTTATCTGGTCAGTTAAAACTGTTTTTATCTGGTTGTAGGACATCACTGAAATCATGGATTTTTTTCTCTAGTTTGACACCTTGAAATGAAATATCTTCTTTAGGGCTGAACATTTAATCAAAATCAGTTGGATCAGTGAGAAAGGTTCAGTTATCAGACGTTTTTTCCATCATCAGTAAAATAGAGACAGTTTTCATCTGAATGAATTCCAGTCAATCACTAAGCTGCTGAAAGTGTAACAGTCAGATCACAGCAGCTCAGTGAAGAGGATTCATAGAGAAATGTATCTACAAACGATACAGTTTCCAAAAATAAATTCATATTTATTAATTTTAAATTGAGTTTTTTCTTGAAATTAACACCTGCTTTTAAACACAAAGAATAACTGTTCCCCCTTTAATTAGAACCAAATGACACTTTGTTCTCCAGGAAACTTCAGAGAAATTATCAGGAAATTAATAAAAAGCCAACGAGCTTCTGAAACCTGGTAATTTACTTGTTAAAAACTGGTTTAAAACTCAATCTGGACTAAATATTATAGCTGGTTCCTTCTGTGTCCCATAAATGCAACACGAGGTACTTGAACGCAGTAAGTTTCCACACACGTTTAGTGTTGTTCTTATTCAACTGTTTACATCCCAAATATTCACAACATGGCGGACATTTGTAACTTAATGGCGGCTGTTTCGCCTCCTTCCTCCTTTTTTTTTTTTTTTACAGTGAAACTCAGCTGTCAAATATGTTACTGCTTATTAATTCTTTTAAAAAATACGATTGTAAGTATTTAAGTTTTAATGGTGTCAAACTATGCCTGTATAACTTTAAAAAAATACTTGGACTGAAGTTGAAACATATTGGTGAATTTCCAATCCAGTAATGTAAAAAATATAAAGAGAGATAAATGGTAACAATAATTACATATAATAACAGCTAAAAAGTGGAAATTGTAACATTAATGAAAGGGTTAATTTGGTAAAACAGTATGAGAAAAAGGCCATTAAATGGCAGTAGAGGATAAGAAATCCACCAAAGGGGAGGAGTGGTCAGCGAACACTAGGTGGAGTTAAGGTGTAACGCCCACCTGTATAAGTTAAGTGTAACGCCCACCTGAAGGGAGGAGACAAGGTGGAGCTTAAGGTGAATATAAGGCGATGTTCGCTGACCACCAACTCAGTTCCATCCTGAGACCTGCAGGGATGCTGCTCGGGTTTATCTGTCCTTTATTGGAATAAAGTCTTTTGCACCGACTCTTGACCGTCTCCAGTGAAGTTTTTGACTACGCAGTTTTTTGATTAAAGAAGAGATCTAATAGAGTAATTTTATTGAGTTTATTACGTTGGTTAGGGTAGGGACCAGGTCTTTCACTGGCCCGGCCGGTCCTTATTTCCGACCCGACAGAAGATCCACCACCCCATGATGGTGCTTGTGAGCTTGGTGTTCCTCAACCTCCTCCCACACAAACCCCCTTGAAGTACTTTTCTGCTGCTTTAACTATTATTTTGATTTTTTTCTGTTTTCTTCTCTGTTTGCGCAGAGCAGTTTACAACATCGACCACAAACAGACAAACAAACTCATTTTTCCCCACCATCACAGTGATTCCTTGATTTTGTCACATGTTCTTGACTTTGTACATTCTGCACTAACGTGTTTATTGTTTGGTCTGTCTGGTTGCCAACCTGCTCTCTTGGTTGCTTCAGCGTATGTTTCCCTTCTGATGTTTTAATTCTCTGTATTTCTGGAGCTCTAGCCTCACATCCCCTGTAGGCCGAGCTGTGTTCTCCTCCACAATTACATCTTCCACACCTTTGTTTGCCCTTACATACAGCTGCTACATGTCCATATGTTTCTCACTTAAAGCACCTCAGAGGGGGGGGGGGACATAATGTCTGACATCATAGCTCATCATGGCACCTAGATATACCTTAGATGGCAGCCTTTCCTCATCAAAAACAATCATATTTATACTTGTCCTTTGTATCTCCACATGCTGCTGCTGCCCAGTCAGCTGCCAAAGGGGCTGCTGGAGGTTGAGACGGCCTTTTATATTCCACCACAGGAAGTGGAAGAACCAACTACTGGCAGAGGGACTCTGAACTACAAAAGTCTTAATAACAACACAGCAGCGTGGGACATTTTGTTTGTTAGATTAATCTTGGGTTTCAGTAGTGTGTGTTAAGTATTTTTGTCACGAGGCCCTGGCTGTGAGCTTGTGTGAGTGTTGTGGATGTCTGTCTGGAGTGCGTGTGGTGAGCATGTTGTTGTCTCACCTGAGACTCATCCTCAATCAGCGCACCTGACCTGTGTTCCACAATCAGCCACTGCCTAAATAGGAGGCTCAGACATCCAGTCCTCGCTGGATTGTTGAATCTCCATGCGTATGTTGTGTCAGCCCCAACAAACCTTAGAATCTGTCTTGCATCGTGAGAATCGTTTGCATTAATCTAACCTTTTCTCTCTCTGTCTCAGAAGACCTCCACTGCCTCAGCGAACTGCCAGCCAGTAAGCTCTCGGTTCTGCCCGCAGCCTGGACACCTCCCCGCTCTCGGATTTCCCCCCAACCCTGGACCTGGGAGAGAGCCTCAGCCTCGATCCTCTGACTTCCCCTGCTCATTCTCT